TTACACTTCTGCAGGAGTGAGGCCATAGCATACGCGTGAAGCCTCTAATACGTACCTCGTTAGCGCATTCTCTTATTCCATAGCAAAAACATTTCTGTTGTTACGGTACCGCAACCAACGGCTTGTTTTCAAAATAATAAAGAACATGCCGCTGTCAACAACGTGCGATAGCAAAATTTAAATAAATGAGACTCATGCATAATAATAAGATCCTTATTTTAAATTCTAATTTAGTATGCCAGTATGGATAATTATAAAATAACAAAAATAATCTATGAGCGATAATAGAAGGAGTGTAATTGATGCTTTAAAACAAAAACGTTCCAACAAACCTTAATCAAAATGTTCCAACAAACCTAATTTAGCCAGTGCATTCTTAAACAATTTAATTAGGTATCCCATGCACAAAACCCTATAAAAAGCACATTAAAAGAAAGCCCACAAAAAATACTACTTAGTTGTTTTCAAACTATTTTATTATGTTTTATAATACAAGGTTACATTTAATAATACAAAAATCACAAAAAGTTTCTTTTATGTGAACAATTCTCTAAAATCTTGAGCAACAATTTAATTTTTGCAATTTATTTTATCCAACAACAAAGTAGTATTATTTATAGTAATAGTATTTTAGTTCTTGAAACCTTTGTTTCTTGTTTGTAATAATAAATTGCTTGATAGTCGGCGCAAAAGTTCAATGCTTCAACTAACCCCGTGTTCCAACTAATCCCGGTCATCCCTACGACTAAATTTAATACCATACTCCATCAGTTTTTGTTCAACTAATGACTGAGTTTTATATGAATCACATGAACCTTCTATGTTAATAAGTCTAATTTTATAACAATCTTCTGGTGAATGTATTGTTACATTTAAATACCTTTTGGAATTACACCTAGCCCATTTATCTATTGTTATTGAGAAACGTGTTCCTGATTGAGACTTTGTTGTTAACTTATTCTTTAATTCCATTTTTTTCTCTTAAGCAAAGTCTATAATCAATTTTTTAATTTTATTTTACTCTTAGGCATTTTATACTCACGTTTTGTTACAAACTCTGCAATAGTACTTGAATATCTAATAGCATAATTAGAAGACCAATTGTATGCTGCACATTTAGCGAATAATTCTTCCAATGTAGTTCTTTCTGTAAAATTTAACATACTTGTTTTTGCTTTTTTCTGTGTTGGCTAATTAGGCTGAGTGAAAAATAGCTCTTTTTTTTATTCAAAATAATCTAATTGGTACCGTAACTTTAAAGTCGGTACCGTAAAAGCTTTGAAAAAGAAGTTTTGTACTCATATGGAAGTTTTGTACTCATCTAAAGTTTTGTACTCATCTGAAAGTTTTGTACTCATCTCGAAGTTTTGTACTCATCTCAAAGTTTTGTACTCATCTCGAAGTTTTGTACTCATCTTGAAGTTTTGTACTCATCGTGGAAGTTTTGTCTGGAAGTTTTGTAAAGTCGGTACCGTTTGTTCTGGAAGTTTTGTAAAGTCGGTACCGTGAAAACTTTGAAAAAGACGTTTTGTACTTATCTGGAAGTTTTTTACTCATCTGGAAGTTTTGTACTCATCTGGAAGTTTTGTACTTATCTCGAAGTTTTGTACTCATCTGGAAGTTTTTTACTCATCTGGAAGTTTTGTACTCATCTGGAAGTTTTGTAGTCATCTGGAAGTTTTGTACTCATCTCGAAGTTTTGTACTCATCTCGAAGTTTTGTACTCATCTGGAAGTTTTGTACTCATCTCGAAGTTTTTTACTCATCTCGAAGTTTTGTACTCATCTTGAAGTTTTGTACTCATCTGGAAGTTTTGTACTCATATCTCATCTGGAAGTTTTGTACTTATATCTCATCTGGAAGTTTTGTACTCATCTGGAAGTTTTTGATATTTTTTTAGTTATGTTTATTGCTGTTTATTACTTTTTTTTTTGCAATTTCTAATTTTTGAAAAATCATAGCTTATAAATGACATGAGGTTTTTGCTTCAAATATTTAGGGTTTGTTCTACGTATAATGATAGAGGACCTGAAGCAAAACTGATGTCAAAAACAAAGTACTTCATAAGTTATTAAATTTTTTCTGTTTCCTTTTTTCAGCTTACTCTACAATTTTTGATGTTTTTCTGAAAAAAATCAAAAAATAAACTATTTAACGAGAGTTTTTTCACTAAATATGAAGCTCTAGTTTATAGAGATTATTAAATTATCATTTTTCAACATAAGGTATATATATATATATATATATATATATATATATATATATATATATATATATATATATATATATATATATATATATATATATATATATATATATATATATATATATATATATATATATATATATATATATATATATATATATATGTATATATATATATATATATATATATATATATATATATATATATATATATATATATATATATATATATATATATATATATATATATATATATATATATATATATATATATATGCTACTACCTAAAAATAAACGTGTTGCAATATTAATATTTAAATTAAAAAATATTCCAAAACATTTGAAAAATTTTTAAAACTAATAATAAAAATATAGCAAAAACATTTGCTAAAAAGTATAATCTTCTTTTGTACTAAAAAGCGGAAAATAAACTTTTCAATTTAAATTTAATAGTTCAGTAAACTAAAGATTGACAGATCTGCACAAAATTTATTTCGAAAGATACCTGTAAATCTTTACTTTACTGGATTATTAAATTTAAATTAAAAAGTTTATTTTGTATTTTTTAGTACAAAAAAAATTATACTTTTTAGCAAATGTTTTTATTTTATTTTCTACTTTTTAGTCTTTACAATGAGTTATGATACTTAGCATGGGGTTTATCAAGACATTCGTAATTAAACGGAACTTTTTAGCATTAATAAAGAAACAGTTTTTGCTTAAGGAAAAACTGTTATTAATAATTATTAAGGAACGGAATTTTTTTGTTTATTTTTAACGGATAGAAATTTTAAAATATAAAAGTAAAATAACATAAAGTAACGAATATTTCATTTGTTTCCTACCTTTGTCCTCCCACTTTTTAGTATACTTTTATACTAAAAAAAATTATGTAGTAAGTTTCATTTCACACTTATTTAAAAAAAAAATTTAAAAAGATATAAAAAAAAAGTACAATCTTAGCCGATTATAAAAATGAAAAGATTTATTAAGAAAAAAAATTTCTTTTAAAAACAAACCCGCAAGTAGTTTTGTAGCTAATTTTTTTGATATATGATTTGAATAATGAATAATAAGTTTAAATCAACAATCAGTCTCAGACAATTTTTAAAATGAAAAGATATATAAAAACATTAAATAAATAGATTCCTATATTGACAGGGCCGCCGAGAGGGAAGGGGAGGAGGGTAAGGGCACCGGGAGTTAGTCCCGGGCGGCAGACGGCGTGACAGCCCCTGTATATTGATAAAATCAAACTTGTAAGCAATTTAGCTATCTTATTATCTTATGCTATCTATATCTATAATGCTATCTTTCTAACTCGACTTCTTCTGACCTTCTATGATTCCTTCGTTCTTTCTAAAATCACATACCCTTGGTCTTCGAAGCGGGTTATGATTCTCTTTAGTGAGCTGAACTCATTTTTACTGGCCTTGGTAATGCGGCCTCTGTAAGGCAATTAGCCGGGGGAGAGAATTTCACCCGTATTCTTTATATTAACTATTTAATATAAACATTTTTGAATTAATTTAAATATATTCAGGAATTAATAATGTCAGACAAAAAATCGTAAAAAAAATTTGAGATGTTTTTAAGAAGGAAAACAAAATACATTTTGAAATGTGTTACATTTCTGCGAATTTAACATGAAACTTTTTTGAGTACATTCTTACGATAAGATGATAGAAGTATGATTAAAAGATGTATATAAAAACATCAAGTTCAATACAACTATTCTATGGCAAAAATCAAACCAATAAAGAGAACTAACCAACAATATGACATATCATGAAATTACTACTGAAGGCCGTATACGCCCTTTAGTAGTAAATTTCTCCATTTATTGATAGTAGTAATTGGAAGTAGTATTTTCCATTTGTTAATCTTCACTGATAAAAACCTAAAGAACTTTCTTGAAATAAAACTGCTCTCAGACACGTCTATAATGATAGTGAATTTAATAGATCCTACTGTGGCAATCTTTTGAAATTACTCTCGAAATTAAAAAAAATTTGATTTGAGGCATACACATAACTTAAGAGCTGAAACAAAAACACCGCCGAAAATCAAAAGCACCCTCAAAAAACGGCTAGAAAAGTTTAGGGAAATTAATGTTAGAAGAAAAAATATTTTATCTACAATAGAAATAAAATTTATAATTAGATTTAAAACTTCATTAAAATATAGTTTGGCTTAAAAACTATATTTTAATGAAGTCCCTAAAAAGTTTAGAATGCTCTCATTTTGTGAACGTTTTGCAGTTTTAAAATAAAGATAAAAAATAAATCAAGTACGGGGTTTTTAATTTGTTTTTCAACAGTATCTATCAATATATGTCAACCTAATAAAAAGAGTGGTTTAAAAAAAACTTGAAATAAAAATAATATCAGTGATCTAAACAAGGCTATTTGATTCGTACTCAAAAAAAAACAAACGAATTTGTATATTTGGTGCAATATAGTTTAAAATAAAATTGCCATATGAAATAATAATCAGTAACAAAATCTTTATTTTTAAATTTGTAAATTGGTATATAAATAGAATTCCACTCTTCTAATAAAGTTCTAATTCTTATATAATTTATATAAAATTGATAAAATATTATTTGTAAAAAAAAAAAAATTGTAGATCAATTTAAATACAATATTAATTAAAAAGTTTTAAATATAATTATGAAAATATCAAAGAACCAAAAGTTGAAAATATTTAGTATTCGAAAAAAAAATTTTATAATAAAAACATAAATTATAACGTGTCAAAAATTTGTATTTATGTGAAAATATTTTTTTAAAAATATGATAAACATTTAAAATATAACTTATAAAATATTAATTATTAAAAACATTTTAAAAATACTTTTTATTGTTAAAAAATATAAACTAAAGATTTTAAATTATAGCTATAGAGTAAAAATATTGTCTTGTAACGATCATAATTTTTTTGCATCCCATATTAACACTGTCATTTCTGCACTAGAAGTATTATTAGAATCGATATGATCAGTTTTGCGCCACCATTGGTCCAGGTAATTTTGTCCGCAAGTTAAGATGAGTTTTTCTTCGTTTTCGCCATTAGCACCAGTTTTCATACGAAAAGGAATAATAAAATTTATTAACTCTTTGTAACATTTTAACCAAGTATGTGGAACCATCGTTTGCGCGTCACATATATAAAATGATCCGGATGAGGTTCCAACGTACATGTTGTTCTCGACAATAACAACAGACTGAATATAAGCATCGCAAACTTGAAAGAAAAAATATATTTTCTATTATTTAAATAAAATGTTTTACCAAAATCGCTTTAAAAGTTTTTTTTTCGTAATCTAAAAGCTCTGCAGTAGCTGAGGGTGGGAATTGGGTTTCAGTGAACTGTAAAAAATTTTTAAAAATGTAAAACGTTTTTACAGGTACTATAAAGAAATTTTTAGTTTATTTTTTGTTAAATATAAAAATTAACAAAATAACTGAATAACCGTTGGCGCATAACAGGTGGCGGAAAGATTTTCAATAAGAATATTTTACAAAAAATCGCGGTGATTGAAGCTTTAGATCAGAAATACCCTAAAAAACTAGCACCCCCTAACCCAAATGTGAGTGCAATGAGTTTATAAAATATACTCTTTTAGCATATTATACTAAACTTAAATTGACAAATTTTATTTATTAACTTTTTTCAAAAGTTCAAAAGTTGAAACCGTGTAAAATTTAAAACCCCACTTATTTCGAGAGGGTAGATATTTTACATGATCAAAACCTTTGAACTTTAAAAGTTATTAAATAAAACTTAAAACCTGTCAATGAGTTTAAAGTAAAAAATGCTCAAAAAAACATTTCATTTACTCATCGCTCTTAGAAGGGCTTTTTCAGGTATTTTTGTTCCAAAGTTCCAATAACCCAATTTGATCATCAAAAATATCGTATCTAAAGCATCAAAAAAAGTGTCATATCTAAAGCATCAAAAGTGTCATATCTAAAGCATCAAAAAAAGTGTCATATCTAAAGCATCATAATGTCATATCTAAAGCATCAAAAGTGTCATGTCTAAAACTTCGAAAGTGTCATATCTAAAGCATCAAAAGTATCATATCTAACGCATCAAAAGTGTCATATCTAAAGCTTCAAAAGTACAAAAAAGTTGCTAACTTCATTTAAAAGTAAACTAAATATGAAACGAGAAACCGCATAATACTGCCTTGATTTGTGCTCTGGCTGCGAAAAACCACAAAATATATATGTAATTTTGTCACAATTTTAGCTGGATTCTAAAATAAATATAAAATATAATTAAAAATTTACTTAGTAGTAAGACGAATATACTGTTCCCGTTTTCTTTTCTTAATTACCAGCTATAACACTGAATATCTGTTCGAATCAAATAAAAATCTGTTCAACATCTGTTCAGTAACTAGTACTTAGTACACTTTTTCTAACCAATCACTTCTTTTCTCTCAAGCGTTTACGAACTATTTAATAATTAACATTTACGCGCCCACAGAAGAAAATGCAATGAAGTTAAGAAAAAAGTTATTTATGGATTCGATAAATGTTTTCAGTAAAATAAACTTAAATGATTTTCAAGTTTTAATGGGGGGAGATTTTAATGAGGTCTTGTCTGAGATGGACAGATTCCCAACCATTTTAAGAAAAGTCTGCCCATCTAATAAAATCCTAAAAAGTTTACTAAATTTACTAGAAATTGAAGATTTTTAGCAAATCTTTGATCCAAAAGAAAAAAAGAATATACTTATGCAGCCACAAATGGTTTCTTTGTTTCTCATTCTCCATTAATCAGGCTTAGATCGATTCTACGTTAGTAAAAAATCTAGACAAAATCTTAAAACTTATTTTGAATCGACTATTTTAATGGACCACTGGGACATGCCCAAATTATACTATAAATAAAAGAAACCTAATAAAAAGATAAAAAGAATATAGACTTTTAAAATCATTAAAAAATGCTTAAAAAAAAAAATGAACTTAAATAAGAACATAAAAATTATATATAAGGAAATCAAAATCAAAATCGAAAATATTGAAAAAGAAAAAGCTGAGGGAGTGGTTAGGGCAAGAATCCAATGAAAATTGGAAGGAGAAAAATATCTAAAATTATTTTTTTGACTAGAAAAAGCAAAACTTGCAAAACAATGTTTCTGAAATTAGAAATAAAAAAGGCGAAATTATAAATAATCCTCAAGAAATTTTATTATTTAAAAATTTTTATGAAAAGCTATACAAAAATAAAAATAATGACTTTGTTTCTCGGGAACTTTTATTTTCTAAAGCTAATGTTAAAAATGCAGAGGAAAACAATTCATTAAATAAAGTAATATCAGAGTCAAAAATAAGAAAAACTTTGTCTCAAATGAAAAACATTAAGTCACCCGGATCAAACAATCAAACAATAGAATATTATAAAATGTTTTTTGATTTAATAAGTAAAGATTTAACAGAAACTTTAAACAATGTTCTCAAAATGAGAGAAATGACTTGTTCTCAAAAAGAGGCAAATAAAACATCCATTTATAAAAAAGGAAACAAAAATGATTTAAGTAACTGGAGACCAATATCCTTAACAAACGTTGATTGTAAAATTTTAACAAAAACTTTAACTAACAGACTTGAAAATATTTTACCAAATATTATTACAGATAGTAACCAAACAGCATGTATTAAAAACAAAACAATATATTACAATTTAAGCTATACTAGAGACAATTAGTATTGTCAATGCACATAAGCTAGATGCATGTATTCAAAAAAACACTTTGTTTTTTCAAAAAAATTTATATCTTATATTAAAACTATTTATCAAAATATTGTAACAAAAGTTAAAATAAATGGACAACTTTCCGAAAATATAAACATCTTAAGAGGAGTAAGATAAGGTTACCCTTTATTGATGATTCTATACATCATTCAAGCAGATATTATCAATGTATATTAGACAAAACAAAAATATTAAAGGAAATAAATTTGGAGAAAAAGTAACTAAAATTTAGCAGTACGCTGATGATACTAATTTTTACTTATGCGGATATAACTCCATAAAAAAGTAGGCAAAGCTTTAAAACTAAAGCAATAAGTAACAAGCTCCAAAATTAACTTAGCTAAATACCAAGGTATTTGGTTAGATAAAAACCGTTTTGAAAATAAAGAATCTTTTTTAAACCTTAACTTGAAAGGAATATCTTTTAAAAGTCTTGGTTTAATTTTATCTAATACGGAAAAATTTATGTATAACACCCATTGAAAAGAACGTTTTTTGAAAATGGAATTTACCCTTAATAAAGGGGAAAAGTATTAACTCTCTCTAAAAGGAAGAAAAACTATAATACTCTAGTAATTCCACCAGTTTTATAATTTTGGCCGTTGTTGCACCCTTCCCCAATAAACTAATCTTAAATCAAATGGAGACAAAAATAAAAAACTTTTTGTGAGCCGGTAAAGTTTTAAATTAAATAAAGAAATGTCACAGCAGAAAATAAGGCATGAGGGGAGGGGGGTGCTGGAATACTAATAAACTAAATTTAACTAATAAACTAAAGCCTATACAAATACACTGGGTATCCAAAACACACAATAACAAATTAGAAGGTCCATGGAAGGAAGCCAGTTTTTACATACCTAATTCCCATAAGCTAACAAACCAAAATAAAAACATTTTTGAAACTAATCTGACGCAGCTTAAAATCCTCACTTTAACACTTTTGAATTTATTTTGTTTGGATACGGCGCAAACACTTTTATTAAAATGATAGCACCAGCAAAAATTTATTGCTAGAAAATTATTTTAAAATACTGACAATACAAATGATTAGAATAATAATGTTTAATACCTTTATGTACCTTAATGTTCATGTAAACATACATAAATATGTACTAATGTTTATCAATAAGAAATCTAACACAAATCTTTAAACTTTTGGTAAATGTAAAACTATTAAAATAAGGAAAAAAATTTAAAAACTGAATTTTAATAAAAAACAAAAGAAATAAAAATAAAGAAACCTACTTCTTGTTGTTTTTGATTTCTCTGAAGTCTCGGAACAATTTACTAGTTAAATAAAAAAATACCTCAGTAAAGACATTTAAAAAAATCAAGCTAAAGTCTATAAATTTTAGATCAAAAGAAAATTTCAGATTTTTCACCGTTCAATGCAATATATTTAATATGCAATAACTGGTATGATTTAGTGTTTCATTGCTTATAAAAAAAATACACTTATTAGTCAAAATTTTTTGAGATTTGTTTTTCCAATGTTGAATAAACTAAATACTTAACATTTTGTTCAATATCTTTATAAATGATTTATTAAGTTAAATTCTTAAAAAAAAAATAAGATTAATAATAAACATAAAATAAGAAAATCTGGATAAGTGAACAGCAGATAAATGAACAATTTAAAAAATTTTAATGAGCAAAACATGTTAACAATGCCCTAACCTAAACACGAGTATAAGTGCGTGTGTGCATTTGTGTGAATGTGTGTGTTAATCTATATAAATATATATAAATATATATATATATATATATATATATATATATATATATATATATATATATATATATATATATATATATATATATATATATATATATATATATATATTTATATATATTTATATATAATCTATATAAATATATATAAATATATATTTATATAGATTATATATAAATTTATATATAATCTATATAAATATATATATAAACTTTTTATGCATTACCACTTAATGTTTGCATAATATATGAGGGTCATATTGTAATAAGGCCTTAATATTCCACAAAAAATGCTGATTTAAAAAATTATTTAAGAATATTTTTTTTAATAAAATACAATATTAATTTTAAATTTGTTTTTAACTCCTAATAAACATTTTCATTTTTCTGTATTCAGCTTTGCCCATTATTTTGAACCACCCAAAACAAATAGTTTTTTAATAAAAATGATGCAAACAAATAAATTACTTATAACAATATATTTGATTGAAAATTGGGATAAAAAAACAACAACAACAAAAAACGGATAAATGTTATGAATTATTTATTATTTGATTTTTTGGAAAAAGAATCCAATTCAATTAATGTTTTTAAACCAGTTTTTTTTTGCTCTTTTTGTGTAAGTTTTTGTTTCTGATTATCTTGTATCACTTGCTCTATAGCAGGACTTAAGTATATTGAAATCTTTTCCTTCTAAACTTACTAGTATTAAATTTTTGAAATGCTGCTCTTTCAGATGTGTCTGTTTTTATTCTTTTCATTAGTAAAAACAGGTGTTCAACTTTTGCATTAGATAAAGTTAATAATAGATCAATGATAAAAATAACTAGAGCCTATCTATTTTTTATTGAGTTAAAAAATATTTGATACTTGCGATAACCGGAGTTATGTGATGTTGAATAATTAAACGGTGTAGTTTACTATGCAATGCCAAGCATTTAAAACATCATTAAACTTTTTCATCCGAGAATGTATCATTTTCAATATTTTGAATCCAGCCTTTCGTATTTAAAATTTTTGTACAACAAATATCAGGGATATTTACATATTAAATCATATATTACACCACATATTACATCACATATTTTCAAATGCTCTATGATTGAGATTGTTACTAACTCTACAAGAAAACATTTTATTATTTATTTATTTTTAAATCTAAAACATTTATACAAAATTTTTAAAAGCTTCGATGACTTTGTATTTTTAAACTAAGTAGCTGGTTAAATTTTGTGTTTCAACAAAACATGCAATTGGAAAACACAAACCAGCACAAACACAATTCCAAGTTATCCCAAGAACCAACCCTTAACTAGTGGAGTTGCTTGCAATTATTCTGCTTCTGATAACTCAATAAAAAACACAATGTTTCCTTGCCTGTAGTAGCTATCAAACAAAAAAAGGTCCACTATTAGCCCTGTCATGATCAACCATAATTGGTTTTCTTTGTTAAAAAAAGCTGTAGGTTAGTCATGGGCATTTTTTAATTTTATTTTACTATGGATCCTATATTATTTTAAATCTAATAATACATATTGCCATAAAAAAATTGCTCATTAATAGCCTATTAAATACCCCAACAGTGAATAATGTAACATAATTAAATTATACTATATAATAAATATTTTATTAATTATATTATATAATGTGTAATTATATTATGGTAATTGAATTAAAGAACATAGTTATAACTATATTTTTGTAAAGTTTTGGACTGACAGTTAAGGATAAAGTTAATTACACCATCATATTAAAGTTTTAATGAAAGAGGTCAAAAAATCACATTCAGCAACACAATGATTCAGCGACACAATGATTCAGCGACACAATGATTCAGCGACACAATGATTTTGGTATTAATTGGTAGAAAAGTTAGGTCTCAAAGGTAACAGTCATTTATCTAGCAATATGTTAAACTATAAAATAATTGTTTTTTAATAGTTTCATCATGATTTAAATTTTAAGAGTTTTTTACATCATTGTCTCATCTGTTTTTGGACACTAGAGCTTCACTCAGCATCTGTTGAGACGTCAGAACAAGTTGTAACCATGCTGGCAGAAATAAAAAAAGAAAAGAAACAGCAAGAGCGAGCAAAAGTAGAGAGAATGAATAAGGGCTCGACATCTAAAATAGTAAAGAAGTTAAATAGTCAAAAAGAAAGTTGTATATATTAAACCAATTAAAAAAGTAACAACTTGTTTTCTACTCACTAGAAAAAGCTAAAAATAATTGTGAAAATGTATTTTTTGATATATTCACTTTTTAAAACTTATTGACAACTTTACTCTCCCTTACAATTTACTTTATGTTTGCAAAAACTTTATTTAAGAATATAAGCCAATAAATTCATAATGCATAACTATTATGGTAATAAATATGGCTTTCTTATGCCAACCACTAATGTTATACTCATCATCTTTTTAAATAGAAACAAACTCATCCAACTCGCCAACTCGCAAAAACTCGCCAACTCGCAACTCTTTTGATTTTTTTTTGGATTTTTAGTTAATATGTGACATTCTTAAAACAATGTAATCAATGTTATGAATGATGCAATCAATGTTATTGAATGACACAATCAATGTTATTGAATGATGCAATCAATGTTATTGAATGACACAATCAATTTATTGAATGATGCAATTTTTCTCTGGATCCAATCAATGAATTCAGAGCATCAAAGTTATCATCACAGACAATGATAGATGCACTTTACTCCAAGAAGTATAAAAAAATTGGTAAGATTTTAGTATTCTTGGTGCTTCATTCCATATTGGAAGATCTTAAGTGATTAGTGATAAGGAATAAGTGATCGTAAGAGGAAAAAAGGATGAGTATTCTTTATCAACTGTTGAAACTTGATATGATCAATATCAAATTTGATATAATATAAACCAATTTAACAAAGTCCAACCAGAGCTTTCTTCAAAGAACAGTTTCTTCTCAAAGTTATCTGACCTTGTTTTTCAGGAATCCTATCTTTTTTTTTCCCTCTATCTTGGTATAAATAGATATTCTCTCATGGAAGAAAGAAAGCCTGTCAAACTTGGAGAAAAGTTTTAAAAACAATTCTTCTGTTTTCCAGTGTACACCAGCAACAGTTGCTAATGACAAGCCTTGAAAGACACATCAAATTGGTGCAGGATTTATTAGGCACAACAAATTCAGAAAGCCAGCTCCAAGACACAATAATAGTGGTTTTAGACAATAGGTGAAAGGTGTTTAATTATACCACCAAACAAGACTTAAAGAAGATTTAAATAATAAAACATATTTTTGCAATATTTCTTTGTTTCTCAAACTTAAGCTGTATGATTTTTTTTTTATTAAAACTAGAGTAAGCTGTATGATTTTTTTTTTATCAAAACTATAGTGAGCTGTGTGATTTTATTGTCAAAACTACATCAAGCTGTATGCTTTTTTTATCAAAACTATAGTAAGCTGTATGATTTTTTTTTGTCAAAACTATAGTAAGCTGTATGATTTTTTATTAAAACTAGAGTAAGCTGTATGATTTTTTTTTATCAAAACTATAGTGAGCTGTGTGATTTTTTTGTCAAAACTACATCAAGCTGTATGCTTTTTTTATCAAAACTATAGTAAGCTGTATGATTTTTTTTTGTCAAAACTATAGTAAGCTGTATGATTTTTTAATCAAAACTATAGTAAGCTGTATGATTTTTTTTATCAAAACTATAGTAAGCTGTATGATTTTTTTGTCAAAACTATAGTAAGCTGTATGATTTTTTTATCAAAACTATAGTAAGCTGTATGATTTTTTTGTCAAAACTATAGTAAGCTGTATGATTTTTTTGTCAAAACTATAGTAAGCTGTATGATTTTTTTATCAAAACTATAGTAACCTGTATGATTTTTTTGTCAAAACTATAGTAAGCTGTATGATTTTTTTGTCAAAACTATAGTAAGCTGTATGATTTTTTTTGTCAAAACTATAGTAAGCTGTATGATTTTTTTTGTCAAAACTATAGTAAGCTGTATGATTTTTTTGTCAAAACTATAGTAAGCTGTATGATTTTTTTGTCAAAACTATAGTAAGCTGTATGATTTTTTTATCAAAACTATAGTAAGCTGTATGATTTTTTTGTCAAAACTATAGTAAGCTGTACCGTAGATGGGGGTAACTAAAGCCACTTTCGAAATTCAAACTACTGCCCAAGTCAGATCCTTTAATTTAAAGGTTAAATAAATATTGCAAAACTTGGGTCTGTGGTCATATATTAAAGAAATATATTCATAAATTGCAAAAACATACATTTTTTTAATAAAAAAAAATGAAAACATGGTGGCTTTAGTTACCCCTGGAAAAGGGGTAACAAAAGCCATCCATTAAAAAGCAATGTTTGGCTTTAGTTAGAGAGTGCTAGGGTAACTAAATCCATAAATCATGCATCTGTAACAATAAAGAACCACTATTGACAAGAAAAAAGCTTTATTATTTAAGAAAAACATTAAAAAAAGACAAAAATATTATTTAAAATAGGTCTTGTTGAAATCAGTGCTTTACCAGTAGTTCATAAGGAAAAGTATAACGTTCTCTGTTTACTTTGGATGGTTTCACAATTGAAATGACAACTGTTAACTGAATGTCCATTTCGTCATCAACATTTGGAAATATATAGTCATTTCTTTTTGATTTGGAGCTTCTTCTGAAAAACTTTACTGTAACTTCATTCTTCTCAAAACAAGTTCTAAGAATGACTCCATAGAACTGTTTGGTAGTTTCTTTTTTTGTGTTCTTATCAAAGATGAGCTCAACAATAAGGTAAATATCAGGTTTAAGTTCTCCTTTACTATCATTGATGGATCAACATCCTTTAATGTCTTTTCTAGTTCATTAAAGTAGTTATTCACAATGTCTCTACTGATAGCCGCTCGACTTCTTTTAATGTTTTGATCCAACTGTTTGGAAAGATCTTTACTGTTTCTTTTGAGAAAACTGTCAATAAAATCAACTCCAGGCATATTGTTTTTGAACCTAACTTCATTTCGGCCACACCGATCCAGGTAACCTTTCACTATTAGTCTTATGTCTAGTGCTGTAAGAGGGAATCCCCACTCTCCGGCCATGCTTATAGATTCAACTAATCTTCTTTCTTCTTCAGAATTAAGAACTGGAGGCCTACCACATTTGTTAACCTTACCTTTCAGGGCAGCAGTGAGAGCAAATCTTGATATAGCAAATTTCTCAGCAATCTTTCTTAAAGATGACCCTTTCTTCACTTCTTCTACAGCTATTTTCAGTGTTTCATCTGTGTAATCCTTATACTTCCGGCTACCAAGCTTCTTCTTTGGGTTTCGAGGCATTTTTAGTCCTAAAAAAGAGAAAAAATTTATTACTTAAGGAATTTTGACTTATTATAAAGTATGGGGTAACAAAAGCCACCTTTATGATGTGGCTTTAGTTACCCCATGTTGTATCACTGAAAAAAAAAACATCACAACAAAAGAAAGAATCAAGTTATAGGTTATAACCTTTAAAGGTGTGATGAAACAAATTGAGGTTATGTTTGTTGAGAGTTATGAGAATTTAAGATTAAAAATGATTTGTTCAGAGCAGAAGTTATGCTTTTTTAACAATTTTTTAGGTTAAATATATAGTTTTACTGTACACTTACCGAGATATTGTTTTAATAATCCAGACAAGTATTTGGAAAGCAGTCCAAGTTCCTATTAGAAGAATACAACATCAGCTGTTGAATCCAAACAGTGCTGCCACTATCACCATCCAAAAATTACCTGCTATAATGGCTTTAATTTCCCCGTAGGCTTTAGTTACCCCCATCTACGGTATGATTTTTTTGTCAAAACTTTAGTTAGCTGTATGATTTTTTTGGGTACCGGGTATTCTTATTGTGATCTGCTAGGACCTAATAAGGAGGATTACAATAGTCCACATAGTTGTAATAAAAAGAAAAAATTTTTTGGGACACTCATATACAGTATTGGACAAAACAAGTGCAACCAAATAATGCTAATTTAGTTTCTTTATATAAAAGTACTGCATTTTTTCAATTTAGAGAAATAACTCTTTAGAGACAACATTCTTCAAGTTTTATTCATCACAAAGTTCATTATTTGTACACGAAAATTAATAAATTAATCAAAAGTATTAAAAAAAGTTGATTTCCTTCTGGACAAAACAAGTGCAACTTTACAAAATGTTGACTAAACTGTATTTTGATATCAATATATTGTGGCGAATCCTTTTTTGTTGATCACAGCCTTGCAGCTGTGATCAACAAAAAAGGATTCGCCACAAAATTCGATGCATAAATTTGATCAGGTGATCAATGAAACTTTGTGGAATTGCTGTCCTGGCCTTTTGGATTTGTTGATCCTTATTACGAACACCTTCATGATTAATTCTGCGGTCGACGATCTCCCGCAGGTTCTGGATAGGGTTGAGATCCGGAGATTGAGGCGGCCAATCCATCACTGATAGGTGGTTGTCTTGAAACCACTGCTTGACTACTTTTGCAGTATGTTTCGGATTGTTGACTTGCTGAAAAACCCATTTTATTGGCATATTCCATTCAGCATGAGGTAACATAACATCTTTCAGGATATTTTTATACATGAAACGGTCGATTATTCCATTGTTTCGATGTATTGAACCTAGACCGTTAGCAAAAAAACACCCCCAGACCATTACATTGCCTCCACCATGTTTCACGGTCTTATGGCAGTAACGTAAATTGAGGCGTTTTCCGGCCGGGCGATGTACACGGCAAATGCCATCGCTCTCAATGATGTTGAACTTCAATTCATGAACAAGACAGTTCCCCATTTCTGCACATTCTAGTCAATATGAGATGTAGCAAACAGGAGTCTTTTCTTCTGGTTCTTTAGTGAAATCAGCGTTTTATTTGCAGGGCGTCGAGAAAACAATCCGGCTTCAACAGCACATCGTTTGATTGTTCGATCTGATACAGGCAGCTCTAATTGCTTTTGTATCTCGAGTGATGATATCCAGGGATCCTTCTTGACGGATCTGACAACCATAGAATCCTCTCTAGAAGTGGTGGAACGCGTTCTTCCACCTTTCCTATATGCTGCTAACTTCCCTGTAGAACAATATTTGGAACATAGCCTTGATACGGTCCATTTTTTCATGCGATATTAATCACAAATACTTTTTTGTGACGTTCCACTTACGTAATTGCCAATAATTTTCTTTCTTAGTTCCAATCCAAGACTGTCGGGAGCCATTTTTGCACTTGAAGTCATAAAAATAATAAAAATAAATCACGCTTCTAAAGGCTTACTGTATTACATTTACCTTGTGATGATACAATAATGCTCTGTGAAACACAACGTCTTGGTTGGATGTGGACTGTATTGATGTAATAAAACACTTGTTGTATTTCACTTCTTGTATTGATGTTCTTTGATATAACACTTTGATAAAACTCACTTCGATAAACTGTCTTGATAATACTGACTGATTGACTTCCATATACTGACTGAATACATGTCGGTTTACATGTCTCTTATATAGTAAAATGAACCTGTGTGAACCTGTTCTAGAAGATTCTAGATGCTTCTTTTCAATACTTCTGGAAGCATCTAGATGCGTCTGGATGCTTCTGGATGCTTCTTCTGGAAACTTCTAAAAGTTTCTGCATGTTTCTGGAAACTTCTGGATACTTCCTTTAATTATTAAAAAACTTCCATGGCATTGACAAGGAACAGACTTAAGAAAATGAAACAAACCAAAAAAGTTGCACTTGTTGTGTCCACTGCAAAATAGCACTTGTCAGCGAAATTCTGCCTGTGTGCTGTCACCTATCAGCTGATTGCTCATGTCATGGCATGGTATGACTCCAGACTCCTGAACTGTTTGCTGTGGTAGTATAGTTCATCTCATTTTTAAGATATGTAAAATTAGAAACACTTTTTAGCATTGTTTGATGTTGGTTGCAAATGTTTTGTCCAATACTGTATATATACAAGCTTGGCCGGAAAGCGTGCGATTTCAAGCCTTTATATGGCCACACAAATAATATTTTGTTTTGACGATTGAACTATGATTTTTAACATATGCGCTGAAAAAATTGGTTTTTAATTATATTGAATATAAATAACTTTGACACGTTTATCTTTACTTATGTGTTTATATATTAGCAAAATGGTTTTAAATAAAAACGTAAAAAAACGCTGAAAAAAAAAACGCTTTAGAAAACTTTATATAAGAATCATTCAAGTTAATTAACTCAAAAAGAAGAAACATTTTGTTGAGAAGTAAAAAGAAGACAAACTTTTTTTTTGAAAGTTTTTTGAATTAAATAACTTTGATCTTATGTTTTTAATACTTATGTTTTTATATTATTTTATATTTAAATAAAGTAAACTAAACAAATCACTGCTAATGATTTTTTACAAAAATATTTAAAAAAATTATATCAACTTTTTAAATGCACGATATTATTTTTTCTTTTGTTTACGTTATTGCAATAATTTAAGAATTTTTTTTTAAACTTTTACATGTGCGGATTTGTTAAACAATTGTTAGATGTAAATTGTTACTTTATTTAAAAAGCTTTTTGCATAATATTATATTATAAAAACATTAGTAAAGATAAATGATTCAAAGTTATTTATTCCAAATGTAATTTAGACAATCTTACTGTTTATTTTATCTATCTATTTTATTATCTATTTTATTTAAGTTTTAGTTTTTTTAATTTAGTTTTAGTTTAAATACTTTGTAATTTTCAAAACTTGACTACAGCTGTTAATATGTTTTGAAAGTTTTTACAAACTTTCAAAACATATTAACAGCTGTAGTCAAGTTTTGAAAATTACAAAGTATTTACATGGTCAAATTATGATGTGAAATTGCACCCTTTCCTGGCTAAGTCTTTATAACATCTTTTTTTTCTAATATTTATTCAGTGTCGGCGCTTAAGCAACCTCCTAATCTACTCAGAAAACTTATTTCTTCAAATGTTGAAATAACCAACAAGAAAGTTGGATTATTCAAATGCAAGATACTTGAGGCAAAATTTGCAAACTCTACCTTCAAGAAGTAGATGAATTTGCAACATCTATGAAAAGTAAGAAATCTTATCACTAGCAACAATAAAAATGCAACTTATTACCTTAAATGTTTAAAAATATTTAATACATGTAATAAAAAACCCCATATACTGGTAAAACTAATAATTTAAGATTATGTATAAATAGACATATTTCTAGTAGCAGAATTGGCCTAACCACTGAAATATATATATATATATATATATATATATATATATATATATATATATATATATATATATATATATATATATATATATATATATATATATCAGAATAAATATATATATAATATCAGAATATATATATATATATATATATATATATATATATATATATATACTCTGATGTATATATATATATATATATATATATATATATATATATATATATATATATATACATCAGAAATGAATGATCAAATTAATAAAACTTCAATTTATACCAAAAATTAAATTACAGGAAGTCACATGTCTTAACTACTGCAATTTTTCACACATTTGTGTAATTTGCTGACACTATTGTAAAAAGAATTCTCTAGAAATGATTACTTAAGCTTTTTTAAAAAATAATATATTTTTTTCAAAGGGGAGTTAATGTAACTATTATTTGAGCTCACTTATTTTTATAGTTTTTTAGGAGAAACTTATTTTCGTGCCTGCATTTAGAAATCAATTCCGATTTTTTGTTTAATAAACATTCTTGGTTTGTATGTGTAAGGTGCACTGTTTTAAGGATGGACCAATTCAGTGTAAAATCATCAATATTTTTATCTTTTAATTCCCATATATATTTTGACAGCATGGTGTCTTTTGAATACTTTTTATTTTTAAAAGATTGCTTATGATTGGCAAAACGTTTTTTCCATTCATATATATATATATATATATATATATATATATATATATATATATATATATATATATATATATATATATATATATATATATATATATATATATATATAACAAAAATACATGCATATTTTAATTTTTACAAACTTTTTTTTCTCCAATAACATTTTTTGACACTTTGTGCTTAATAGTGTTCATTGTAAAAAATTTATTTGAACCAATTACAGACAAATATATTTAATTGCGTCACAATTTGTTCTAAAATAAAAACCTCATGTGTTATTGGGATATTAAATGTGTGGTATTGCATGTGTTGATTGGAATGTATACAGTTATCGAACTTATGATATCGTATTGAAAGTTTAGTCAAACTAGCTGTGTTTATTGTTCAATGTTCTTAAAGAACAAAGCAATAATAAATTAGCAAAAACACTAATCTAATTTTTTTTAACAACTTGTTTTTTTAAAAGCTTCATAATGAACCTACTAATGTATATATATATATATATATATATATATATATATATATATATATATATATATATATATATATATATATATATATATGCCATAATATATATATATGCCATATATATATATATGCCATGCCATAACATTTTAAAAGTAATTTGGATGCAAATGATGATTTAAATATGTTAACTTACTTTATATCATATTTACACCATGTAAATATAATATAAAGTAATGCAAATGATGAATAAATAAGTTGAATCAATAAGATGAATAAAAGAATTTAAAAAAATTTAGAATCTAGAAGTTTTCTACATACAAGAATTTACATGAAATAGTTCTAACTTAAAAAACTTACAAGTAAGTGAAACAACATGCTGACTTGTATAAAATATGTTTTCAATTCGTCGAGTATTTACATTCCACTTTTCAACTTGAGTTCCACGAAAAGTAGCAATCCAAATATGATCTTGTTTCTTAGTAAATAAATCATAAGCTTGAGGCGTTTCCAAAAAAGTGACAGTTGAATATAATTTAGTTTCTAAATCTTTTTTTTTTATTGAAATAATCTGAAGTGAAGCCATTGTATTTGCATTTAAAATAGTAACCTTTCCATTTTCTTGCCCACACCATATTTCGAATTCAGCTGAGCTGTTAGTTGTGGGTACAATAGCCATGGAATAGATTGGATGTTTAAAAAAAAAGCTCTTTAAAGGAAAAAGTTTGACAATCTTTGCACAAGGATGAATAGAGGAGGACAAATCATTATCATACTTTTCATTGCAATATGAATCAAGATTATCAGAAAAATAAAAAACAGCACCATTAGAACATGTTATAATGACACGGTTAAACATAGGAAAATGTTCAATACAAAGTATACTTTCATTCTCAAAGAAAATCCCTACAGCAATTAACTTTAAAGTTGTTGCACAATAAACTTTAATTGATCCTTCATTAGTTCCCAACCACATGGAACCACCTACAGGACAAGCCACTAAAACCTTTTCTTTTAATTGAAGATTCTAAATACAAAAAATATTAATAAAGTAGTTTTCAATAAATAAATAAAAAATACAATAACATAAAAAATTCAAAGCTTACTAGTTTATGGTTGTACTTAAAATCATTGTAAGTAAAAACTGTAACAACACCTTCAGGACGATTATTCAAACTACCACAAAACCAGATACAAGAACCAATCTGACAACGACTAGAGGTTAAATTTTGATTATTCATACATTGGCTGCTAGTGGCTATGCATTGCAAATGAAAATGTTTTCCTAATTCTAAATAAATAATAACTATCTAAATAAAGCAAACATATACATACATATATATATATATATATATATATATATATATATATATATATATATATATATATATATATATATATATATATATATATATATATATATATATATATATATATATATATATATATATATATTATAGCGCATGTACAGCTATGTACAAAAGTTTAATCAAGAGTTTTTCATACTAATATGCTAGTTTTTATAACATTAAACTTTAACAGATATAGATTTTAAGTTTTTCTTTTTTGTATTTTGCTATTTATTTTTCTATTGATAAAATAGATAAAAAAAATTCACACATACTACACTACTTCTGTAAAAACTAATTGAACATCAGACATTATATTTTACTGATGAAATAAATGCTTAATCAAAAAAGTTAATTAATTATAGATTTTATAACTAATTATTATACTTAATTACCACTTGAAATTATATCTACAATTTTAATTGCAGATGACAAATTATGCCTATTTTTTATTTGCTCTACTCTGTAGAGCAAAGTCTTTTTTAAATCTAACTTATTTAAAGCTTTTATATATCTCGTTCATTCATTGCCATCTTAATTACGCAAAGATTGCCTGGTACAGTACAAATAAAAACAAAAAACTATTTAATAAACAAAAGCATGTAATCAGAATCATTTCCAAGCATTAACTCTTAAATTAGATTACTTATACGATTTAAGCATTAACTCTTAGAGAAAATATTTATACGATTCCAAGCATTAATTAAAGCTTAAATGAATGTGTATCAAAATAAGTCAGAACAGATATCTAGCGAGATTCTCAAATAACAATTATATTTAATCCAAAAGTTATTTTGCTGCATTAAATAAATTATGGAATAAAATATTAACTAATGGACTTAAAATAATTGCAACGCTTAATGAGTTTAAGAATTGAAGCAAAAACTATCAATAGACTCGAATCGAAGACTATCAATAGTTTTTCTGAAGAATTAATGGTTGCTACTGATAAACTTACACAATAACTAGATGTTTATCATTATCAGCTTGAAGATCTTAGAAAGGATCATGTCACTTGTTATTGTCTTAATTCTTTTTTTATAATTATAAAAAATCTCCAGATAATTGAAGGGCTGGTATAAAAGGAAAGCTTCAGGATTATGCGTATTTGCCTACTATATAAGTAAATATTGTGAGTACATGTGACTCTAATACAAAAAAATAGTTATAAAATTAGAAAAAAAAATATTTTAATTGCTTAAAATTTTCTGAAGAATATTTTAATAACTAATATTTTAAATTTCAATTCGCTTGCAAATAGGTAGAAAAACAGCGTCAGAGAGCATCAAATAGCAAATAATTGAATTCATAACAACGTTGAAATTAGTAACTTATGGGTGTTTCTGAATTTTGCATGAGAAAAACAGTGAAAACTTGGGAGCTGACAGGTAACATTGTTGACATGCCTCGTTCTGGAGACTACCAAAGCATAGCAAATGCCATAAAAGTAGCATTTTCAAAACCAGTAGAAAAAATCCTTGGATCAACAACAAAAAATTCAAATATTCAATAAGTGATGAAGGGCAAAAGTGATTTAAATCGATGAGTCAAACTTTCAGGTTGTGAACCGCAAAGGAAGAACATAGGTTAAAAGATTTGCAACTGAAAAATGTTGCAAGTGGTATTTACAAGCAAAACGACAAGGTGGTGGAGTCTCAGTATTTGTGAGATCAGTATTTATCTTAGTATTTGTGAGCTGTGTAATGGCCATATAACCAATATACCTACAAAATAGCCATATCAACCAATGGTATACCAAAATACCAAACCAATAAATACCAACAAAATGGCCATATCAACCAATATACTTACAAAAACAAACTTGAAAACACCTTTGATTCCATCGATAAGGCAATTTTATGACAGAAAATAGATCAAACTTTTTCTTTTAAAGAGCTTTTTTTTAAACATCAATCTATTCCATGGCTATTGTACCCACAACTAACAGCTCAGCTGAATTCGAAATATGGTGTGGGCAAGAAAACGGAAAGGTTACTATTTTAAATAGTAACCAAATAAAATAGTAATCTTTTATTGAGTATTGGTCATAGGTGCCATATGAGATGTGTATAAAATTGGTTGATTCAGAGAAGAGTTCATTTTTGCTATCAAGCCGCTTTAAATAGATATATATAATAGCCATTTTAAGAGGACACTTTAAATATTAAATTTGTATTCTTTTTTTAATTTTTTATGTTCTAAACCTTAACTAAATTAAACTTTTATTATATATATATATACACACACATATATATATATATAAAAAAGTATATATCAATATATTTATAATTTATCATTGTGCTCAATGTTCTTAAAATAACAAAGCAATAAATTAAATCTAATAAAATTTAATTTATTGCTTTGCTAAACTGGAGAATAAATTAAATTAAAAAAGAAAGTTTTTTTAACTTTTAAATGAATTATCTTGCTTGTTAATTTATAAACTTGTTATTTCTAAATCAGGAAGCTTTTTCATTAAGAAATATATGGCTTATGATTGCTGCCAGGCATGGGGCTTCTTGATTTGAAAATATGTTGCTGATGTTTGACCCAAGGCAAGAAACTCTGAGTTCCACAAAAAATTGTATTTTTTTAGTTGAATATTTATTCAATATATCCAATCTATTATATAAAACATTTGTTTACATAACAACGATCACTCTTAAACATACAAAAGATTATCCTAAAAATACATGAACAATATTTTCTTTAGTAAGGTAAGTAACAAAGAATATTTAATATAAAGCTTTATTAGACACTATAGTCACATATAAACCGACTATCTAATTTACTGTTGTTGAAGCAAAAAAAATAGAACGTTAAAAAATATAACGTTTTGGAACTTTTAAGCATTCATGTTTATGTATGTTCTGGAATTTACACATTAATTATTGAACTAATAATTATATAGGAATTATGAAAATATCTAATCATATTTTATTTTAACCAAAATCTAAACATTACAAAATAAATTGATTAATGTTGTCAACTTATATTATGTTTTGAAAAAAGCTAACAACAACCCAAAAGCCTTCAGGTTCTCATTAATCATGCACATTATCTATAATACAAGAAATATTTGAAAAAAAATAACATCTTTTCAAATATCATAAGAAAAGCATACACAACAAAACTCACTAAAATAACTTTATTTACTATTTTTCTATTATTTACTATAATAATCTTTTTAAATCAAATCAAAATAAATATAAAAGTCATCATTCTCATTCTCTCATTTAGCACTGTGTCCGTTTCACTCTTTATCCTTTCAAAGAAAAGATTTAAATTTGCATTGTTGGATGCAGGAAGGTTCCAAACCGTGTCAAATCTCCTCTTCATTGGTGTTTGTTGGGGTGGTGGTTTTCATTGTCCTTAAAAAGAACTCTCAGTAGCATATTCCTTTTTTAATTTTGATATTGCATCTTTGAACATCTTTTCCGAAACATATTGGTCATTTTGAATAACTCCCAACCCTCTGCTTAATACTTGCCTCTCCGCTTCAGTGAGGTCGTAGTCCGATTTGTTCGTAATCATTTGATTAATCATTTCCGCAGTGGCTCTTGTTTTCTCCACCCTTATCTTATAGTGAAACGATCCTCGGATGTTACGCATATCAAACAAATCTTTCATTGTAATCGGAGTGAATGTCCTTTGTTCATCAGATGGTGTGAAGATTGATCCGTTGTTCTAGAAAGTTATGGAGAAAGTCATTTAGCGTTGTAGGTGGTAAGCTATGGGTGGTTCATCAGTACAGTGTCTCTATAGGTATATGTACACCCGTAATTAGGTGAGTAGAGAGTCAGCCCGCTACTTAGGAATTTAAAAATAACAAGCTTTATTGTAACCCATAATAATGTGTATATAAAAGTAATCTGTGTTACGTCATAAAATATATATGTTATGAAATGTGTGTTATAAAATGTATAGTTGTAATAAAATGAATCGATGCATTCAAAAATTATAAATTGTGTAATAAATTAAATGTATACATCAGACACATCCTCGCATCGAACCCGAAACCTTAGACACCGCAAGCTGCGCATAATCCACTAAGCTATTATTTACTATATTTCCACATATTTCAATCTTTTTAAATCAAATCGAAATAGATATAAAAAATATCTGTGCTTTAAATGAATTGTGCATTCAAGGCACATCTAGGTGTGTCAAGGCACATCTATAGTGTCTAGATGTGGATTTATATTACAGAATAAATAACTAAATACACTTTTTTATTAAATGTTATTTACCTTCCCAAGGCCAAGAAGGCCACTACAGTCAGGAAGGCTACTTTATTGTGGTTATAACCCTCTCAACTCTTAAACATAAAAATATGAACCATTGAGAAAATTAGAAAACTAACTAAAGAATGTAATCTCTAGCTGAAGCAAAAAAAGAATTAAAAAAGTTAAAACAATCTTTTTATTTTTTTCATTGTTATTTTGTTTAAATTTAAACAAATAGTCATTGAAACACAAAGACTTCAAAGTTTTTTGGAGTATAAGACACGCTACTACTGCTGTCAAAAGACTAACTACTCTTGTTGTCAGAAGACTAGCTACAATTGTTGTCAGTAGACTAGCTACTATTTTGTCAGAAGATTAGCTACTGCTGTTGTTAAAACTGATATTTAGAAACAAATAAAAAGCAAAACAACAAAATACTTAATTAAGTTTTAATGTGAATCTGGAAAAGAATATGATCAAGTATAGGCATGTTTCCATGTTAAAAAAAAACTGGCAAACCAGCAAATAACAGTGGTTGTAATGAGAGCATTAATATGTGCATTTCCCAAACCCCCTTTTTTTGTTAGAACTTTGCTGTGCATTTCCAAGACCAACTTTTTTTGTTAGAACTTTGGGTTTATTAGCAATAGTAAGAAAACTTAATAGTTTTTCAATTAGTCAAGTATATAGAGTAAAGTTCACATAAATACTTAAAATCAGTGACAATTATAATAACAAAAACTCAGAAAAGTAACTACCATGATCAAACTATTTCAGTTCAACCATTACCTAAAGTAACTTTTCTTAAAAGTATTTTACAAAACTCACAAGACAATGCTTGTAATTTCTTATGTAATAGTTCTGGAGATGATCCTCATAATTAGGAATCTTTTTATTCTAATAATTAGAAATCTTTTGATCCCAATAATTAGGAATCTTTTGATCCTAAAAATTAAGACTTTTGATTCTTATAGTTAGGAATCTTTTGATCATAATAATTAGATCTCTTTTGATCCTAATAATTGGAAATCTTTTGATCCTAATAGTTAGGAATCTTTTGATCTAAGTAATTAGGAATCTTTTGATCCTTATAATTAGGAATCTTTTGATTCTAATAATTAGGAATCTTTTGATTCTAAAGAGTCTACTTACCCTGGTTTCCCTGAAAAGTAAGTTTGTCAGATGTAACTTTTTATAAGGGGGTTAAAAATATTTCTCCACTAATTTTAGGAAAGTTAAACAAAAAAAATGTTTAATAAAACTTTTTTTTTTTTACAAATTTGGTATTTGATCTTTGTAAAAGAAATGTTTTCACAAAAAGCAATTAATTCATCTTTCTAAATTTAAATATATGCTTTCATCGTGCAATTTAATTCAAATAATTTTTTTTTTGGAAAATCACAAAGTAATTTTTAATCAGCACAATCGGCAAATATTTTTTATTAACAAAACTAAAAACTAAAAAATTATATATTCAGCGAATTTTATATGCCAAAGTTTTTAAATAATATTTTTTATTAACAAAACTAAAAACATTTTACTCTTTTAAAAAAGTAAGTAAAAGAGCCACCCATAAACCCCTAAATATCATGCACCCCTAAAAAAAGTTTTAATTAGGAATGATTATTTTACTTATTGCTTTTTTTCTTACATGAGTATTAATTTACATTTACATAAAAGTAATTAATTTATATAAAACAACTTTTACTTTAAGTTTTTTTCAAAAGTATTTAGGTAAAAGTAGATTATATGAAAAAGTAATCTACTTTTACATGTAGAAGCTACATGAAAAAGCTGTTTACTTTTGCATTTAAAAGTTAATTACTTTTTAAAATTACATAACATATTATAATAGTTATTTAAACTTTAATTTACTTTGCTGACCAAGAGATAATTTCATAATTTCTTCAAAAAAACCTCCAAAAAAACAAAAAGCGAGAATTTATATTAAAATCTGTCAAAAATCACAATCACTTCTCTACATTAGAACAAAATTTTACAACCCATGCCCCATTGATATGCCAATATTCTTAAAATAATAATAATAAATAAAAAATTGCTCAGCATGGAAATAGTTATTTTCCTGACCTAAACTTTTTCTATAATCTGCGGGGGAGGGGGGTGCTATAGTGATAAACCATAAAATCTTCTTGGAACAGAAATAATAAAAAAATTCAGTTTAAAAAAAAAATAATAAAAAATCAGTTTTAGTATCATTAAATTCAGCTGTTTCTTTAACAACTGAATTTAAAGATACTAAAAAAATGCTATATTGCACTTTTAAAACAAGTGTTTAAAAGAATAGAGTGTTACCTCAAATAATGCTTAAAATGAGCCATTAAAGAATGTCTTTAACCATTAAAAAAAAAAGAAATTAATCAATGAACAATTTAACTTTGAAAAAAAAAAATTAATTTAAAAATATCATTTGAAAAATACGACAACTTTACTTACTTGTAAAAACTCAATTTTCTTCATTATTCTTTGACAAATTTTGATACAAAGTTTGAATACTTTTTTACTTTTATCAAAAATTTTTATCAAAATACATTTGATGACTTTTTCACAAAAAAAGAGTTTTATTAACTTTTGCTCAGAATTTTTGAATATTTAATTATTGTCAGACAAATTTATAACTTAATTAATATTATTTTAAATTCACTAAATAATTCGGGGAGTATATTCAAAATTTATATGGTTATAATTTTAAAACACAAAGAAATTATAGCATAACAGAAACTTGTCAATGAACTTAAATTTAGTTTAAAATATTAAAAAGACTTGTTTTACAATTTTTTTAATGGCTTGGTAAGGATGTATACACTCTTGGGTTTTATTGTTCCCAGACTCCGATTATTGCAATTTTTTGCAAAACTTTCATTTTACATAAATATCAATGTATAAATGTGATTTTAAATATGTGATTGAAATCTGATTGTATAAATATTGTGATATTTTTGATATTTTTTTTACTTTAAATTTCAAAAAAAAAAAAAAAAAAAAAAAAAAAATTAAAATGCTATCTTATTATAAAAAGCAATTTTCTTCACAAACAACCAGGTTTTAAAATTTAAGTTTTAAATTTAAAAACGCATTCTCATTCATAGTTTTTTTCTTCACAAACAACCATATAGTTTTTTTCTTCACAAACAACCACAGTTTTTTTCTTCACAAACAACCACATAGTTTTTTTCTTCACAAACAACCATATAGTTTTTTTTTCACAAAAACCATATAGTCTTTTTCTTCACAAACAACCATATAGTTTTTTTCTTCACAAACAACTATATAGTTTTAAATTTAAAAATGCATTCTTTTAAACCACCTTACTGCATTTGCTATATTAAATTAACTAAGCAGTTGTTGTGGTTATCAAAAGCTTTCTTATTTTTTTTTACTTGAAATTTTTTTTGAGAAAATAAATAAACTTGCGGTTATTTACATCAGTTATTTAAAAGTGTAAAAATCTAGTTTTCAATTTGTTTTATGTCTGCTTCTTGCTTTGGAAATGGGTCTGCATTTTGCTTTTTTAATCTAAGTTTTGTATTTTTGCTTCTTTTATTTTGTATGGTTAACAACAACTCTAAACAAAATAAAAGATGATTCTGAAATGACTAACTGTAATAACTGTTTTCTGGAAAAGACTAATTCAAATTAGTCCAATTCAGACAACAATTTTATGAATAGTTCTTATTAAATCAACAACAACAAAAATTAATTTTCATTTTGGTTAGAGTTTCAGCATGATCGTTGTTAACAACGATCATGGTGAATAAAAAAACAAAAAGCAGCTACAAATATGCCTGGCCCTAACCTATTTCCTCCTGACGAAAAACTGAATACTAAAACAAGTAAATCAAAATAATGCATTTTTAAACCTGTCTTGTAAAAAGTTTTTTAAAAAAAATAATAAATAAATCAACAAACAAAAAAAGTTGGGAAATAGCCCCTCTTGCCCAAGAAATTTAACACGCAATGTTCATCAGGATTGAATTTTATCACGCATGTTTATCAGGATTAGACAAATGCTAAAAGTTGTGGTTTAAAGATATCATATTTAAAAATATAAGCCATTCAAACATACATCTGACTACTTGTCTAAACTATAATATTTAATCATCAGAAAAATAAACTTGAAGTTTGAGGTAAGATTGTCATGAAAAAATGAAAAAGATTAGGTGAAAATATTAAACTAAAAACTATACAAACTAGAAAATTTATTTTACCTAAAAAATTTAATTACCTAAAATATCCAGAAGAGATTGAAATTCATTTAATGATGTTAAGCTATTGATTTCAGATGCAGATGGTCGGTGATCAGGGTTGTGTGACCAACACTGATACAACAAAGAGAGAATTAATGCAGGATATTTACTTTCCTAAAAGCATTATAAAACAATTTATATAAAATGTTATAAGAATAAAAATTACATTCAATAAAATATAAAGTATAATATTGTAAAATTACATTCAATAAGATATCAAGTATAATATTGTAAAATTAACAGTAATCATATAAAATTACTTTAAAAAAAAAAAGTAATTTTATATGATAATCTAAATTAAAAGTTAAAAAATAAAAACTTATTTAAAATGTTTAGACTGGGACTTGATGTCACATTGTTGCAAAAACAAAACATAAATATTACTGGGACTTGATATCACATTGTTGCAAAAACAATACATAAATATTACTGGATACTTTAAAGAAGTAGAAAAGCAATTTTTTATTCTACACTCTAAAAACAATCCGCTAGAAAAAGTAATGGATTGCATATCTCCATAAAATTAACAGAGTAATCCATTATCAAAAACAGCAAAACTAAAGGTGTACTATTAACTATTTACTTCGAAATTCTATTAATTCAATGGATTACTCCGTTTGTTTTAAAGTTTCACTCACATAATTTTTTTAATATAAAAAATATATATTTGGAGTGCTTTCTTTTGTTAACATAAAAAAACTTTTAGCTTTGTTTAAGAATGTTATGTAAGGCAAAATCTTATCATTACTTCCCAACACACATACTAATCCTAACATTAACTTAAACCATGTTTTAAAGGTATAGATGAAATTTTTTCTACTGCATTGAATAGTTTATGTTTAGATATTACATTTAAACTATTATTTATTTCTTCTTATTAAAAAAATGTTTTCGACAAATACTTAGGAAAATAAGCTTTTTAAAGATCTTTTTTGTTTACAGGACTCTAAATCACACTTTACATCATAGATAAAAGGTTTGTTGCATAAATTTTTAAATCACCAGTTTATTATAATTAAAAGTTTTTTTATAGTTTTGCGATTTTAGCAGGATTTTTTTTATAGTTTCACAGTTTTAATTTTTAAAGTTCTGCAGCTTTTACAGTTTTTTTCATAGTTTCGCAGTTTTAACAGTTTTTATTTTTTAAATTTTGCAGTTTTTACAGGTTTTTTAAATAGTTTCACAGTTTTAAAAGTTTTTTAAAAATAGTTTCGCAGTTTTAACAGTTTTAATTTTTAAAATTTTGCAGTACTTACAGGTTTTTTAAATAGTTTCACAGTTTTAAAAGTTTTTATTTTAAATGTTTTGTAGTTTTAACAGTTTTTTTTTTCTAATTGTTTTTTTTTACAATTTCGCATTTTTAACAGGGAGCAATTGAGCAACACTTAATAATTTTATTACATAATTTAATTACGTTCTTTTTTTGTATTATAAAGGTTATTTAACTTGTTCAAAATATTTAAAAAAAAAACAATAAAAGTATTATTAAGATATTTTTATATAAAAAACTAACAATAAAAAAACTAACTAGAATAGTATTAAAATAGTATATAAATAGTAGCAGAGTGTATTTTTTGTTCTCGATAGGTATTGATGTGGAAATTATAGAACCTTTTTGTGTATTTTTTGTTCACGATAGGTATTGATGTGGAAATTATAAAACCTTTTTGTGTATTCTTTGTTCTCGATAGATATTGATGTGGAAATTATAGAACCTTTTTGAGTATTTTTTGTTCTCTATAGGTATTGATGTGAAAATTATAGAACCTTTTTGTGTATTTTTTGTTCTCGATAGGTATTATGTAGAAATTATAGAACCTTTTAAGCTTCAAACAAGGTAATTTTGATACATTTAAAAAATAATTTAGTTTTTATTAAAAGTATTATTTTCTTGTTGCAATATGCGGTAGTGTTGTAGTGGTAAGAGCGCTCGCTTTGTAAGTGAGAGGTTCGAAGTTCGACTCCCACCATGTCCCTGTAAGTACCGCGCTCAACTTAATTTCTCTGCGCAGCGGCCTTGCTTGTCAAGGTTCGTGTTTTGGAGTTAAAGAGTTGAGAGAGGGTTGTACCACGATTTACAACAACAACAAAAAAAAAAGAGCAGCCTCCTCAACTGTAGTGGCCCCCTCGGGCCTTGGGGAGGTGAATAACTTAAAAAAAAAAAATGTATATTTAGAAAATGATATGTTATAATGTATACATATTTATGTTACAAGTTCATTGATAAATTGTAAATTAGCAATTATCAAAAAAAATTTCTTATAGGGATATCAGTAATTTTAGTTTTTTTTTTAGAAATTAATAAGGGTTTGCCGGAATTAATGGACAAATAACAGTATTACAAAGTAAAGTTTAGTTTATTGGCGTTGATTTATTTTAAAAATTTATTATAAATGTATATAAATGTGTATTTTATATAAATGGACTTATATAAAGTTGAAAGACTGAAAGTTGATTGTAATAGAAAAACTAAAATAATATGAATGCTTGATTGGTTTTCAATATCTAGTTAAAGTGTTTTTAAAGCTCACTTGATTGAACAACATAGGTCTCTTAACCATGTTATCATAATTAGTAGTTCTCGTAAGCTATTGCTTATTTTATAATCTTAAATACAAATGTCTATATAATGTGAACAAATATTAAGCACCAATGTGTAATAATGTAAAACATCATAATAAAACAATCCTCATATTTAAAAATAAAAGAATTATATTATTATATCAAAATTCTTTCTTGCCTGATTTTTCCTTATTTTTAATGAAATGTTTTTCTTTAAAGTGTAAATTTATTTTTTAACGGAATATTTTATTATTTTATGTACAAGTGTATTAAAACCTTTATTTCAACGGATTGTTTGTTGCACAACTTAACAAATCTCTATATTTAATTTTTAGATTTCAATCTGTTAAAATTTTATTAGTTAATTTAATGAAAAATCCATTGATGCAATAATGATTAATTTGTTACCTAACCTATTGTATACAATGCATTATATTTTAGATTTATACATAATAGTTAAATAAAAAAAGTATAAAAATTTTTTTTTGTGTAGATTTTAATTTAATTTAGAAAAACTAACTTTCAAAAAAAACAAACAAAGTGAAAACAACAAATAATGTAAAGACTTATTTAGGAAAAAAAAAGATAAACAACAATAATTGTTTATATACAACTTTATAGCATAAATAAAAGGTTTGTTTTATTTACCAAAAAATATAAATTTGCCCACAAATATTTTGGTAAGTAAACTTTTGAAATTTTGCTAATTAAGTAAACTTTTGAAATTGAAATGGGCAAATAAATATTCATGGCATATGCAGGATGTTCATTTAATATTTTAATCAATCTATTAACATTAAACATATATATGGTTTGATGTGTTGCCCTCCCACCATCTAGTAACTTTTTAAACATCTAAGCATTAAGCTCATCTTCAACCTTCTATTCATTATCTACAAATAATCATCAATCATCACTTTCTTAAGTCACTGGAATACGTTATCTTATGTTATTACCTGAGAAAGACAAACTATAAAACATTTTGAAACTTTTCACTTCTAATTTTGAAACTAAATTTTGAAATTATCTTAAGAAAAAATATTTTCCAAAAATTTTATAAATAGATATAAATTTTGATAACTAAATTTTGGCTGACAACACATGAATTTCTCAGGAACAAGACCAATAACAACAGAAAAATGAGTCTAATTTACAACATCAACTGTTCACACTTGTATAATCTAAATTACAACATCAACTGATCAAACTTGTATAGCCGTTCTACAGCATAACCAAATCTGTTATATTACAGGCACAATAGGTTACAATTCAAAAGCCAAGTTTAAATATTTAATGAATTGCGCTGTACCCAATAAGAAAGCTTGCTCAACTTTTTGATTACCTCAAATAAATTGAAAAAAATGTAAAACAATAATTGTTCTACTTGTTATCAATTTTTAAAGACAAATGATTGACCAGCAACTTTTGGAATAAATTTCTGTTTTCTTTATCGCATGGCGAGGTAATAAAATTAGTTAATAAAAAATTATTTTAAGTTAAAAATGAATTTGATAATAAAAATTAGTAATAGTTAAAATTAGCTAATTAATAAAAATATTTCTAAAAAGCTGTCATTGACCTTTGCTAAACAACTGCCATATAAGTATATACATAAGTATACATAACATTTTTATATTTCATTTTATATCAATATTAGTAATATCATGGTTTAAATGTCATGTTTAAATTTTCTTCTAATAGTATTTTATTTTATTTACTAGTACAATAAACTCCTGGTTATTTGAACTGGCACTTACTTGAATTTCATGCTTATTTGAAGCAATTTTCATTCCCTGTGAACTTTCCTTAACAAACTCATGCAAATATTCATCAATTATTTGAACTTGTAGTTATTCAAAATTTCAGTTATTCAAAACAATTTTTTACTCCTCTTAACAAAATCCCAGTCAGTTATTCAAAGTTTTTTTTAATTGATATCATTCCATTGTATTTCAAAACATTTCAAAATATAACAAACAAAATAATGTTATGAAAATATAATTAAAAAAATCAAACCCATTGCAATGTAGTAGAAATTTCATCTACACAAAAAAAGACACTTCTGACAATTGAAGTAAAGTATTTTGCTCTTAAAGAATTTGAAAAAGGACTTTATAAAGATATAGAATAGAATCCTGAGTAAAAAAGTGGTGAGCACGATAAAGAGATGCAACCTTAGCAGATGCTTATTTTGCAACGGACTTGATTTCCAATAAAGATCGGAGTTAATCTTAAAAAATGAAGAATAGATGACTCATAGAGTACATTACCGTTCACAAATATAGGATGATCTAGATTATTGCAATAACATTAGTTAAAGATCACCAGCAACTGAGAGCCCCCCATGCTGTAGAAAAAGTAAGATCTTTTTCAAGCTCAAATGCCCCCTGCAACCAATCAGAGAGTGTTGGCAAGACTAGAATAAATGGTAGTATTATCAGCAAACAATGCCACCTTAGATGTGAGAATTTCTGGAAGATTGTTAATGTAAATTAAAACAGTATAGGGCCGAGGATAGAACCTTAAGGAACCCCTAAAATTACAGGATATGAAGAAGAATGCTGTCCATTGAGGACAACTTTTATACTATAATTGGAAAGGAAGGATTCAATAATCCTAAAGATGTTACCTGATACACCTTATGAAGAAAGCTTATGGAGAAGACAAGCTGTCAAACTTTATCAAAAACTTCAGAAGAGTTTAAGCAGAAAATCAATTTAGATACAGAAGCTAGAGTGATACAAATGTCAAGCAATCAATCAACCTGTTTGTCGGCTATATCGGGTAGAATGTAACTAGTGGAATCTAGAGATGATATTCATGAAAAATTTTCAGCAAACAATTTAGCTTTGTTTTTAGGTGAAGGGACAAAATCTGAACCATTCAAGAGAGGTGGAACAACAAATTTGCACTTATTATAAATACTGTTAAAAATTCTCCAAAAAGATGTACTTAAATGCTTGAGAGGTCTCTTTTTGATAATAGTGGTCGACAACCACTAAGCTTTGTATCAAAGATGTTTAATAAAACTTTTTAAAAACAAAAAAAGGAATCGAAATCTGACAATTTTTTTATAAAGTTTTAATAAATTTGTTATTTTAAAAATAAAAAAATTATGGAAATATGGACAACTTTTTCAAAAATTTGTAAGGACTTTATTATTTTATGTAAGTAAAATAATAAAGTCCTTTAATTTAAGTAAAAGACTTAAGCAACATCCTATTCCATCTTATTTCATTTTTCTTCCTTTTTACTCTCTATTTTTGTTAAAATAAAAATTTAGCAGACATGGTGCAATTGCTAGCCTGCTTGCCTAAGAAGCAAGCAGTCCAGGGTTTAACGCGAGCTCAGGGAGCGTTTTCTGCCATTAGTAAAGATAAAGGCAAGAACTTCTTATTTAAATGCTATTCCTGAGTGCTCTATAACAAGACCTCTTGGGGCACCTAAAATAAAAATTAAAAAATCAGCAAACTGATTGTAACTTGAAATAAGTCACTTTAAGAAGGATTTTCAGTTATTCGAAGAATCAGTTATTTAAAGTAAATTCTTATTCCTTGAAGAGGTGTGAACAATCAATAGTTTACTGTACTATTTTATTATTTTCAAAAGTAACTGGAAAAAAACATCAAAAATAAATTAGGTAAACTTTATATTATGTGAAACTTTCTTAGAACATAATTTTTTATTCAAATATTCTTAAATTTTATACTATTTAAACTTTTTTTAGCACTTTTTTTTTAAAAAAATGCCAAAAATATCTGATTTTTGTGTGTGAAAAAAAAAAAGCAAAATTTTAGCTTGGCAAAACTTTTGATAAAATGTTTAAGTCAAAAAATATTCTTGAACTTTAAGACACCACTAGAGTAACTCACAAATGTAAAAATAGGAAAATTCCTGTTGCAACAGCTACAAACAAAAAACAGGCAAAAAAATTCAATTACTGAAGCTTGACAAAAATTACACTTAAAATAATGAAAACCTTTGTATTCAGTATATTTTAAACAAAATACCGTCTTTGTCAGTTTTGGTCTTTTCCCATCTTCAATATTTTGCTTGATTATATGCATTTGGGAAACATGATCATAAGGTTGATGGAGAGATAATAACTCATAAATAAAAGAACCAAATGAAAAGCAATCAACCTAAAAAATAGTTACAAAAAAACAATTTTTATTTAACACTCTAAGAAAAAATTTTATACAACTTGTATGACTGAAAAATGCAAAAAGTTAGACGTAATACAAAGAAACAAATTGTATGCTTGATAAAACACCTAATAACTTATTACTTTGTTCAATTCTCTTTCCCCATGGTTCGGTAAAACATGTAACAAATATTTTAATACCCAATAAAAGTATTAAAAAAAGTAAATTACTTGTTTCAAATACCTTAGATTAGATTCATGAATAATTGATAATGATTTTGACATTTTTAGTCTTTTAAAATCTTTTAAAAATAATTGATTGTTAATATAATAAAACATATTTGACAAAAAAATATACCTAGCAGAAATAGAAATCTGTGAAAAAACAAGCACCTTTATCAATAAAACAAAAAACTTCAGTCTAAACTTCATGCAATTTATATACAAACAAGTAATGTGAATTAGGGGTGAACCGGATTGGAAATTTTGAATTCCAGCCAGAACCGGATTTGCCATATTTATTAATAAAAATCTGGGCAGAATTCCGGCAGGAACGAGAATTATGTACAGCAAGAACAAGAATTATATATAGGGATCGTCCATAAAGCACATACTCTCAGATGAAAAGAAGGGGTCTGCAAATGGCATATATGAAATGGGAAAGGTGGGGGGAGGGGTCAATTATAAATGTAAGGAGACACTAAGTTGAAAAAAAATATCATAAAATGTTAGGTAGGTTAAAAGCGTAGGTACTTTTAGGGAGGTGAGGGGTACTCAAAAAGCGTACAGCAAAATGCATTGGGGGAGGAGGGGGAGGCAAAATCAAAATAAAAGCATATGTATTTTATGGATGACCCCTAATTATCTAAAATTTAAGGAACATTTAAAACAAGACTATACTATTCTCAGAGACAGGTAACATTTTTGATGAAAAGAGAACTAGTTTGTTGCCCAAAACTGGATAGCAACTCTTTTTGCACCAAAATATTCCTAAAGTTCTAAAAATCCTTACATAATTCATTACTGCAAAATTACATAGTGTTTGTTATCCATTTTGTATTTTTTTACCTAGGTTTACCTATATTTCCTTGATGCTTTGTAGGGCTAAGATTTTTTAATTTCATTTACACAGTCTGCATCACATGTCTTAAAAAATAATTTCCAGCCCGAAAAATTTTAATACCTGCCAGAACCGGAATGACCTAAAATTCACAAAATCCGGCCAGAATTCCGGTACATCCCTAATGTGAATGAAATTTTAAAAGTTAAAAATACACTTTTTTTTTGAAACTTAAAAATCTCCAACTTTTAATAAATAAAAAACAACAACAAAAGTAACATAAAATACAAATAATAAAATAAAGTAATTTTAATTAAAAATGTATAATTTAAAATATATTATACATTTTATCTAAAAAACACAAAAAAACTATGTTGATTTAAAAACAGCATAAAAAAAAGAAAAAGAAACAAGTTGTTATTACTTTTTCAGAATAAATTTCTTTGCCTGTATACTTTGAAATCTCTGGAGCTATGTATCCTGGAGTGCCTTGATTCCCTTTACTTCCACCAATAAACACAGATCGACTAACTCCATAATCAGTTAAAAGCAAATGGACTTGTGATATTGAGGAATCATTAGAAGGATCTGGAAACTTTCGAACAAGCGTGTTATCACACTTTAAATCTCGGTAAATAATTCCTTGAGAGTGAAGGAACTTTAGAGCAGAACTGATCTAATGATTTATATATATATATATATATATATATATATATATATATATATATATATATATATATATATATATATATATATACCTTGAGAATTATGGCTAATTAATTTCAACACTTTTCTACAGCATATTAAAATAAATAAAAAACCTAAAATATACTGTAACCTCAGTAAGTTCACTCTTCCAATAAACTTTATCTTATTATTTATTAAAAATTTTTTTTATAACAATGAAAAAACTTTTTTGTTATTACAAAAAAAGGGTGGTTATGAAATTTTCTCATTAATAATGCTTTCAAAAATAACTTTTACTTTTAGTAGAAAAAAAACAACCACAAGTCAATAAAATCAAATCTTAACAATATTGTATATTTTAAAAACTCATGTAAACATAATATATTAGTATCCTTTCAGACTAGTAGTAGTAGTAGTAGTAGTAGTAGTAGTAGTAGTAGTAGTAGTAGTAGTAGTAGTAGTAGTAGTAGTAGTAGTAGTAGCAGTAGCAGCAGCAGCAGCAGTTGTTATTGTTGTAGTTGTTGTTGTAATTACCTTGATGTTGAAAATTTAAGCAAAAATTGACCTGTATTGCCCTATAGTTGCAAATTAAAATTCTAATGATGCAAAAGCGAACTATTATTGCAAACAAAATTGAATGTTACATATTTTATTAAACAAAACATGCTGCCACCTTTACTTTAAAGTTTTCACAAGTATTTAAGCAATTTGATATAAAATTTAAATTTGAAAAGATGTCAAACCAAAAAAGCTACAAAACAAAGTACTTATAAATATATTTATATTTGAAAGATTATTCTAACATTTTCATGTTGAATATAAATTGCTATAATTATTTCTTACAATAATTTTTTATCTTAACCCTAGAACAGCACCCCAAAAAAATAAAAATTTATGATTACTTTTGTGTTTCACAGTGGATCTTTTCCACTATAGATGAAGTTGCCCCGCTTTGCATAAAAATGTCAAACTTTTCAATTCAAAAAAAAATTAGACACATTGTTCTTCTAAGCTTCCAAATAATTTGTAGATTTGATAGCCTCACTTTGTTGTAAAAATGCAACTAAATCAGCACAATTTTTGGCAGTGATTACATTCCAAATCATAATTAATGGACATTGCTTAACAGAAAACAATTAATTGCATCCATTTTAATGAATTGCAACCCTCTCATTGAGTCCTCTTCTTTATGCCTTCTTGGATTATTTTTCACTAATGATCTCTCTTGGAAACCAAATGAACAACTGATTGAACTTTATTGTGCTTGTCATTATATACTCCTCACTCCATTCTCTACCTCTACAAATTTTTTATTTGTTCCTGTATGTATAACTCTTTTCATATTTGGACTAGTTATTCTAACGATACAGTTTATTTTCTAGACAAAGTGCAAAATCGCATTGTATATGTAGATCTTTCCTCTCTCCCATAATTATAAGGTAGCATCTCTTTCTCTTTTATATACTATTTAAATACTATTATAGCCGCTGTTCATAGGAGTTATCAACCCTAGTTCCATCAATCAAAACAAATTCTTGTTTGATTTGTCATTTAGTAGAGTTGCAACCTTTTACTGTATCTTTCCCTGCATGCTCTAAAAACTTTTATTTTAATACTAGTACACAAAAATTTAAATTTTTCATAAGGGTTTATATAAATGAAAGCTGAAAACTGCTTGACAATGAACAGCTAACTTTATTGCTAAACTAAATATACTATATTGTATATTATATGATATGTAACACAATATTTAATTACGCGTTTCAAACTGTAAATAAAAAAAAATATAAATAAATATTAAAAAAACACCTAATTGAAATAATATACGTCACACTAAATTTATATTTTGAATAGAAGTATGATCTTGTCAGGTCAGGTTATCCTGCTACTGGTAACATGTAACCCAGTACAATCTGCTTCATGTCCTCCTGCCTTTAAGGATACCCTTTTCTAGGCAAACTTAAAAGTCCAACTTGAAACACCCCCTGCCTTGGTGCTCTTGTTTGAGTAAAAGCTAGAGATGGTGTCTCGATAAAAATACTCATCTTGGGCAGATATTAAATGCATCCGGCTACTGTCTTGTAGAAGACCTCCTAGGCAAAGACTTAAGGGGTAAACAGATTCTATCTGTTGACCAGCCGTGCACCCCCTCTTGATCTATTAGGCTAGAGCAGATATATTTTTAATACATCGTTTCCTGTTTAAGATATTGAATGCTGGATCTTCTTGACTCAATGCATAAGTTTTGCTTGTGTCTCTGTTTTTATGACTAGGCAACTCATTCTATTATCTCCTAATGAGGGTAGAGCTCTAAAATTCAGCTTAAGGTCATATGGTAGTCAGGTTTCCTGAACTCTGTGGAAGCTCTTAGAGAGGCTGATTCCATCTACAGCTGAAAAATATCAAAGTATTAACAGTGCCATGTTGTGCATGGATGGTGTTTCTGTTTTTACTTTTTGTGTGCAATATCAAGGCCACATTTGGAGCCCTTTGTTATGGGTTAGGGTTTATTAATAGCAGCGCTCGAAATAATTATTTGAAGGTTGCCGATTAACACTGATCGGCAGAAATAATAAAAGTAATAAAGTAGACGATCAAAAAATTATCCAGACGATCAAATTTTTCTTAACTTTTTCTTTAATAGCGTACAGTTTAGGTGACGTCAAATTGTTTGTTTTACCGCTATCAACCTACAATAAATTGCGTTTTTAGAAAATTCTATTGATTTTGAGCAATTTTCTAAAATATCTTTACCTTAATGCCTTTTAGTACTAAAAAAATCTATTTTTAGAGCACTAGCTGAACGCTATTGGTTTTTGAATACAACAGCGTACATCCGCGTTATCGTTTATAGTTTTTACTTTTAAACTTAGCTCTTAATTCACTTTTTCACTTCAACGCGTTGCCTTTTAAGTGACGTAAAAATATTTTTTGTGACTCGAACAATTGTTTTTTATATAATGATCGTTTTTTAACAAAAATGACACAACAAAAAGGTAATGAACTTTTTAACCAATATTTGATTATTAAAACTTTTTTAAACTAAAAAAAGGTGAGAAAAAATAATCTCGTTTTGCGCTATTCATTACTTGATTCGTTAGATGATGAATCCAAGTCGATTAATGTTTTTAATCCTGCTTTTTTTGCTCTTTTGGAATAGCATTTTCTTACTGATTGTTTTGGCCTTCGCACGGCATCATTGGTCCATAACTCGATAGCAGAACTTAAATCAAATAAATAGGAATCTTTTTCATCGAAACTTACTCGAATTAAATTTTCTAAACGTTTCTCTTTCAGAGAGTTTCTTGTATCCGTTTTTACTCTATTCATTAGTGAAAAAAGGCGTTCAACTTTCGCATTAGAAACAGGCAAAGTAAATAATAGTTCGACAATAAGTAAAACCGGAACCCATTCATTTTTCATTGAGCTAGAAAAAATTTGATGCCATAACTTACGATAACCGGTATTATGTGGTGCTAAATATTTTACAGTGTAGTTTACCAAGCTATGCCAAGCATCCAAAACATCATTTACAGTTCCTGCAAAACCAGCATGTCGCAACGGCGCTCTATAAAAGTCAAAAAGATTTTCTATTCCTTCATCCAGGAATGTTTCATTTTCAATACTTTGAAGCCAACCTTCTGTATTTAAAACTTTTGTACCATACATATCAGTAATAGTATCGCTTGTTTCCAAACGCTCTATGATTGAATTTGTTACCAACTCGATATGAATAGATTTAGACTTTTTTACTAAATGTTTAGCATTTACAAAGTCGTTAAGTGCAACACCCTGGAAATAAAACTTTCCTTCTTTTTCAGTCACTTTGGCGAGAAAACATTTTACTGTTGGCAAATTAATAAACTTTGTTTTTTGAATACGATTTAAATGGCTTTTAGCTTGTTGAACAAACCCTGATGAAGCCAACACATCTATCTCATCACTTTGAAAACATTTTGACAACATCTTTGCTGGTGCTAAAATCTCAATAAACAACGCGATATAAAGGGGCATTCTAGCATGAATCCACTTTTTGTGGAATCCTTTAAACTTAGCTCTTTCAGCATTGGTAAATGTTATATCTTCAGTCATATTTTCCAGATGTGTTAAATAAACACCGTATTTATCTAAAATCATTTCTAAAGCCTGAACTTTATGTGAAATCCATCGTGTACCTAAAAATGAAACAAGATTATACAATTTATAATTTACTTTATACTTGCAAAAACTAAAAATATAGGCGTCACGCATAACTGTAATGGTAATAAATAAAAGATAAATAAATCAAGCAAAAAAAAGAAAATACCGGAGGCTTTCTTAGGTCGGTAACCACCAATGTTATATTCATCATCTTCTAAAATAGAAACGAGTTCACCCAACTGTCTTAATTTTTTGGGGGATTTTTTGTAAATGTAATGCATTTTTAAAATCATGTAATCAACGTCATTGAATGAGGCTGTTTTTCCTAATTTTTCTTTTAATGATAACTCGAGACGATGTGCTACACACCAGCCAAACGTGATCCAGGGGACTTCAACCTTGAGCAACATTTTAACGCCCGACTTGCTCCCTCTGTTAACGGATGCGCCATCCGCACCAAATCCAACTAGTTTTTTATTGCAATTTACGACTTCTATATTCCAGAGTGACTTTTTTATGATGTTGAAAACTCCGTGCGAAGTTCCATACTCAACATCCAAAAGTGAAAGAAAATCACATTCAACGTTTACTTCAGATTTTCCAGTTGGAGCCGGATTAAAAGTAACGGCAAATATAGCTTCTTTTTCCTTAATTGAAACGTCGTTAGAACCGTCAATTAAAATAGTGAAAAAATTTTGAGTATTTAGTTTATTTTTGAGATCTATCGCTAAACTAAGAGCAATGTAGTCAATAAATACTCTACATGTGTTTTCGTTTTTATAAGCCTGACCAAAAACTACACCATGTTTCTCTTCTAATTGAATTATTTTTGGGTATAGGCAAAGCGATAGTTCTTCTTTTGCTATAAAGTAAGCGACCTCAAATTTTTTTTTTGTCAAATCCAAGTCTTTACTATTCATGGTTTGAATACCGGATAAAATGTCTGTTTGCCGCATTTCCTGCTGCAACTCGTTTAGTTTTTCAATTCGATCGCACAAATTCATGCCTCTCGTTTTCATAAAAATCTCAAAAGCCTTCTGATGAGACATTCCCTCTGCATGCGTGATTGCAGAACTATGTTGCAATCGACTACATCCTTTTCCACAGCTCCATTCCGAAGTGTAGCCTTTTAAAATCTGAATTTGCGATGCATATTCTCGGCATACTTTGCATTTTAGCGCTGTAACTATTCCGTCAACGCTTTCAATTTCAAGCCAATCATTAGCATTATATTTTGCAAGCGTAGAGACTTTCCATTTATTAGCTGTTTGTAATTGTAGCTTTCTGTCATAAGTTTTTAGTTTTTTCTCAGCAGGTGTTCTAGATACTAAGTTTCTATTAAAAGAAATAAATGTTTGACGCTTTTTGTATGCTTCCATTTTAAGATTATTTTTAAACTTACCATTTAATTTCTAAAACTTTAAAACAAAAACTGTTTCTTTCAATTTAAATTGTCACCATGATTTCAAAATGAAGTTTTCCAACGAATCACAAACTTGCTTTGTTCATTATTTTTCAGACAATCAAAGAAATGTTAACCTTTCTAGTTATTAATTCATTTTATTCAAATGAATTCGCTTTATTAAAATAATTCTTTTACAGTTAATAAACTTTCGAACTGAAGACTGTTACGAAATCAACGCAATGTTTATTCCACCAATCAAAAGCATTATTAAGTTATTTACAATAAACTTCGCGCTTCTTTTTAATTACCATTTTTAATGTGAACTAAAAGATTATTATTGGTCTAAAAACTTGTTTAATTCAGCAATAATGAACATATTTTTTTTAATGCTAATTTAATAAATTTAAGATTCTTTTTTAAATGTTAAAAAATTTTTTATTCTAATGTGTGACATGCAATGTAGACGATCAATAATTAATTTTGGGAGTTCAAAATTTCATTTTTTCCAAAAGTCAACGATCATTGATCGTTGATCGGCAGTTATTTCGAGCGCTGTAATAGTAATGAGGCAATTGCATGGGCTCTTAAACAGTGTACTGAGTACTATCTATGCTTTGAGTCAAGTTCATTAACAAATTTAAAAATGAATACACTACCAAAAACTATAAAACACGAAAAACCATTGTCATCACCAAGTTCTCTAAACCTATCATTCACTAATATTCATGGTCTTCAAAGTAACTTTTCTGTTGAGTTTTATTTCTTGCAAAGTTCACCAGACTTACTTGCTCATTGTGAGACTAATTTGAGTTCAGCTGTCAAATCTTGTGATCTTAGTGTTGATGGTTATCTTCCTTTAATTTGTAAAGACTCCACTAGTCACATGCTTGACCTGGGCATTTTCATTCGTAAGAATTCACCCACTTGTCAGGAAACTAGGTTTGAATCCACAGACTACTTTTTTATGTGCTTTCGTTTAGCACCACTTCACTCTATTGCCTCTCTCTTATATCGCTCTCTTTGATCTCAAGACTGCACTCTTTATGATGTTATTTCTGATCAATTGACCAAGTCCTCTCTTTTTATCCATCAGCCAATATTGTTGTTGTTGGTGACTTTAATGCTCATCACACTGATTGGCTTGGCTCTAGTGTCAGTGACTATGCAGGCATTAAAACCCACAATTTTTGCCTTTCTAAATCCCTAACTCAAATAGTCAACTTTCCAACTCGCTTTCCAGACAACCCGAATCAATTATCTTCTCTACTCAACTTATGTTTTGTTTCTGATCCTAGTCAGTGCTCAGTTTCTCCACATTCACCCTTAAGGGCCTCTGATCACAGTTTGATTTTTCTAAAACTATTATCTCATTCTTCTTTATCATCAGAATCCCCCTATTATCGTACATCTTACAACTACGTGAAAGCTGACTGAAACTCTTTCTGTGATTTTCTTGATGGCCCTTGGGTTGAAATCCTTCATCTTCCTGCTGACAAATGTGCTACTTACATAACTTTATGGATTCAGGCTAGCATGGAATCCTTTATTCCCTCTCAACAATTCCAGGTCAAGCCTCACTTTTCTCCATGGTTTTCCTCACATTGTGCTGCTGCAATTTCCAATCGAAACTATTACTTCCACATCTATCAGCAAAACAATTCTCCAGAAAACAGACATCTGTTTATTTCTGCTAGGAACCTTTTCAAAAAGGTTTTGTCTAACACCAAAGCCCGCTATTCTCAGGTCATGAAATCTCATATTTCATCACAAAAACTCTCCTGACTTCTAGAGAATCTTTAATAATATCAATAATAAGGGCAAATCTGCTATTCCACCTCTCTTGTATGGTTCAGACCTCACCTAAAGACAGAGCTGAATTGTTTGCTAAGAACTTTTCATCAATATTATCTCTTGATCCATTTTTCTTGTTGCATTTTACATGATTTAGATACAGAAGCTAGAGTGATACATTCGTATCACTCTAGCTTTTGTATCTAAAGTGATTTTCTGCTTAGACTTCTACAGCTTGTGGTCTGGACAACATACCTGTTGCAGTATTGCAGAAATATCCTCTGGATGTTATCAGAGACTTGTTTTCCAGCCTGCTGTAAAGCAACCACTGTTATTCCTATTTTCAAAAATTCTGAAGAGCAATCTGATTCGTCCAACTACTGTTCCATTAGTTTTCTTCCTATCATTTGAATCTTTAATAAATAAACACTTAATCTTGAATCTTGAATCTAATAACTTACTTTCTGATCATCAATGTGGATTTCGATCTTCTCGTTCTACAGCTGATTTGTTAACAGTAATAACCAATAGGTTTTATTGTGCATTAGATAAAGGTGGAGAGGTTAAGGCTATCGCTCTTGACAATTCTAAAGCTTTTGATAAAGTTTGGCATGTTGGTCTTCTCCATAAGCTTTCTTCTTACAGTGTATCTGGTAACATCCTTAAGATTATAAAGGATTTATATTATTAAGATAATATGAATTCTTCCTTTCCAATAGTAGTATAAAAGATGTCCTTGATGGACAGCACTCTTCATATTCTGTAACTTCAGGGGTTCCCCAAGGTTCAATCCTTGGCCCTATATTCTTTTCAATTTACATTAACAATCTCCCAGATATTCTCACATCTAAGGTGGCATTGTTTGCTGATGATACTACCATTTATTCTTGTCATGATAAGAAGCCACTTTCTCATTGCTTGGAGGGGGCATTTGAGCTTGAAAAGGATCTCACTTCTGCTACAGCATTGGGATCACAGTAACTGGTAAACTTTAATTTAGATAAAACTCAATTTTTTTCAGCTAATCCTTATGGCAATAATTTAGATCTTCCTATTTTTATAAATGGTAATGTACTCAATGAGTCATCTACCCTTCATCTTCTAGGATTAACTCTTTCTTCTAATCTTTCTTGGAAACCCTATATCAAATCCATTGCAAATCTAGCATTTGCTAATTGCATCTCTTTATCACGCTCAACACTTTCTTACTCTGGATTTTATTCTCTATCTCTATAAATCTCAAATCTGGCCTTGTATGGAATACTGTTGCAATATCTGGGGCGAATCTTCTAACGATTCCCTTTCTCTTTTAGAAAAGGTGCAAAAACGCATTGCAAACATAGTTAGACCTGCTCTTGCAGCCAACCTCCAACCATTATCACATCGTCGTAATGTTGCTTCTCTTTTTCTTTTCTACAAGTACTATAATGAACACTGCTCTAAAGAGCAAGCGTCTTTTGTGCTATCTACTAAAACTCATTCACGTGTTACTCGTCATTCAATTAAGTCTCATCCTTTTTCTGTTACTGTTTTTCCTAAATGCCCTAAAAGCTCTTACTCGTCTAGTTTTTTACCTCGAACATCAGTTCTTTGAAATTCGCTTCCTTCATCTTTCTTTCCTGATTCATATAATTTGCAATCTTTTGTTGTCTGTCAATCGTTACTCTATCTTACTCTACAAACTTCATCTTTTCTCTTCCAGTAACTTCCAACTCTAATAGTGGTTGCTTGCAGCCTTGTTGGAAGCAAAGATGTTTAAAAAAAAAACTAAAAGCATAAAAATGAAAAAACAAACCTGCTTGAGAGATTCAGTAACAGTAAGAGTAGTGAGTCTTTTACCAGCACTTGAAAAATCAAGGAGACATTTTTTAAGAGCACCTTTAGGTACTAATTCTAAAAACAATGCAAATGGTTTTGAAGACACTCCCAAAAATCTTACAATGTGGTCATGATGTAAAGAAAGGATAATAGAAACTTCTTGACGAATATTCCTAAAAAAAAGAATAACAACAGTATATAGTTCATAAAATACTGTGCATTACTTTACATAGTACATATACAACCATGTACAATGTGTAATACGATATTGTAATTAATAATAAAAACAAAATAATAATGCAGAGATTATAATATAGTGGCTTCAAAAACTAATTGGATTATGTGTGGTAATATAACAGTAGCAGAGTGATGCAGTAGTGATGTGGTAGTGGTGTAGTAGTGAAGTGGTATTGTGGCATAGTAGTGGTGTAGTGTGGTAATGGTGTAGTAGTTGTGTAGTAGTGGTGTGATAGTGATGTGATAGTGGTATAGTAGTAGTGTATTAGTGGTGTAGTTGTGATGTAGTAATGATGTAGTAGTGATGTAGTAGCGGTGTAGTAATGGTATATTGGTGTGGTATAGGTGTAGTAATGGTGTAGTATTAGTCTAGTATTGTAGTAGTGGTGTAGTAGGGGTGTGGTAGTGGTGTGATAGTGTTGTATTAGTGGTGTAGTAGTGATGTAGTAATGATGTAGTAGTGATTTAGTAGCAGTGCAGTAATGGTAAAGTGGTGTGGCAGCAGTCTAGTAGTTAAGCCCTCACTTTGTTCCAAATTTTTAAAGCTAGAAAGTTTCAGAACTAAAAGGATGAGAAAGGATTGTATCAACAATAAAAAAAATAAACTTTCTCAACATTAGTGGATCCTTTTAAGTAGGGAGGTAAATACGCGCCAGTAAATACAGTGTAAAGATAAGTATAAGAGGTAAAAAATAAATTAGATAACACTTAATTTAAAATTGGTTTCAAGTTGAATCTGGCCAGTTCTGAAGATGCTTTGAGTTAAGCTGTTATTTTTATACTTCAATTTATTATATGATGCACATAAAATCATTAGGAAATAATAAATTTTATTTCAGGCTTGTATAATAGATAATTGTATATATACATTTGTGAATCTGTTTACAGATTCACAAATGTACTGTTTACACAATAGGACCAAGATCTAATTGCATAAAGTTATGTCAAAAAATCAACTTTGATAAAAAAGTTAATTGATGTAATTTAAAAGAAAAAAAAAAATAGCAATCCCAAATATTAAATTTTTTTAACCTTAATAAAATATAAAATTTGGTATGAAATGACAAAATAATTCATATTGATAATTACAATATAATAACATTAATTTTAATAAAACAGATAAAATAATCTTTAATATAATATATTACATTTTTATTATACCAAATATATTGTATTTATAAATTTAGTATTTATAATTTTAGAATTAAATTTATAAATATTTTATTTATAATTTTAGAGTTTAATTTTTGAATTACAATTTTACCTACGTACAATTTTAGAATAAAACTATTTTCATACTTAACAAAGTTATAAAATCAAAACAAAAAATTAAAAAAAAAACTGATAACAAAATAATATCTATTATAAAATATAACACAATGTTTTGAAAATTTTGAAATAATTAAATACTAGATGTTTTGGACCCGAAAATACAGGTCTTGGTAAGACTATTCTATGCCAACCATTTCTATACTTACTCCTTACTTTAATACTTTTTAGTAAGTGGTAGCTGTGGTCTTTATTAACTTGTAAGCTGTGGTCATTATTTCAATTTATAGAAAACTCAAGAAATATTTTCTTGTAGTTGGTAAAGTAATTAACTTTAATTATTTTACAATTTTAAAAGTTCTTGAAAATAAATATGGTTGATCTTTCAGATAAACTTCAATAAAAATATTCAAAACTACTTGATTGATAAAATCTTAATTCCTGAATTTTTAAATAAATCACTAATCACTAAAAAAGGAATAATTAAAATTGACATCTCAAAAACAATTTCAATTTTTTTCCATATAATTGGATTCTAAATAAATGAGAAAACCATAAAAAAAAATAAATAAAACTGATGTACAACAATAATAAAGCTGATGTACAACAATAATATTATCTCCTTAACTTATTATCTCCTTAGGTTTCTAAAGGATTTCAGAAACCTTCAAAAATCAAGCAAAAACTTTATGTTAAGTACTTAAAAACATTGAAATTTACAGCATTTTAAAGATTTTATTTAAACATGAGTATTCAAACATTAAAAATCATCTAAATACTTGTAAGCCGAATATGATGACAAACCACTAGTTGGTAATTTTTCTGGAATCTTCATTGCAGATGAAACAAATGAGTTTCCACACTTTATTTCAGCTTCAAAAACATGGCCAAATGCTCCACTAGCAATGAATTTTCCTTGATTAACCATACCATCATTAAAAACATAATCTGGATCAACGTCAAGAAAGACCTAAAAAAATCGAAATAATTAAAATTAAGTGATTGCCAAATTTTAGCTCAAAATCATTTTCCTGCATTGTCAGGGGCACAGGTAAGAAAATAAAATACCCTACTTTTTCCTTTAAATTACTTAAAAAATAAATTTGCTTAATTTGATAAAAAAAACTCTTGATTGATATAAAAAGTATTTTGATATAAAAAGTCTTGTCTCTACTATTCATACATTTAATAATATTCAATATATTTTTTTTTTTAATATTTTAAGATTGACTGAGGCAAGTTGAAATGCCTTGTGTGTGTTCTAAATGATCATAATAACAACAACATCAGAAAATATTTAGAAAAATTGTAATAAATAAAAAAAAAGAGTATAGAAACTTACCAGATCTGGAAATGTTGTTTTTATGTCAATAACATTATGAATAGGACAAACCAGGTCCTTATTCTCATTTAAATACTGAGAACCTTGTTCCAGTTCAAAAGCAACTATACAGTCTTTTTTAGATTCATGAATAAACATAAGCTGTGAAATTTCTTTTTCGGAAAGATCACCTAAGAAATCTGTAGAAAATGTGCTGTTGAGAAAATCTCGTAGTGCATTATTTGAAATCTGAATGGCACTTTCTATACATTTACTGCAAAATGAAACTCTTCTAACTGCATTCATTCCATGAAGATCAATAAAGTTATCAAGTTGGGGATACCACTCTGCAAGCAAGGTATCAATATGTTCAATAGTAAGGACAAACAATTTACAAGCATTCAACTGAGCATTATAATGTACACTTTTTACACAAAAACCAATTGTTAACTCATCTTGCGATTCTAAACATGCAGCAAAAGATAGATTAAAAAAAAACTCTATACATAATGAACACTGCATAAAACATATAAACCTTACTTGACTGATGGTGTTGGTTCAAAACAAATTTATCAATAATTAATGTGATGCCGGGAGCTGTGATCTCAATTGCAACTCTTTTTGATGAACCTACGATGGTATTCTTAACAAAAACACATGCTGATGTGGCTTAAAAAAAATTAGCAACTTACAAAATGATAAAATTTTAATAAAAAATATTAATTAAATATTTCCGTATATATATATATATATATATATATATATATATATATATATATATATATATATATATATTACTTAAATATATATAGGTACCCCCTACTATATATATATATATATATATATATATATATATATATATATATATATATATATATATATATATATATATATATATATATATTACTTAAATATATATAGGTAACCCCTACTTAAATATTTCCAAAAGGTGTTCACTATGTTTATATAAGAAATTTGCTATTATATCATATCCAAGCCTGAGGAACTGCTAAAAAAAAGGACAGAAAATATATCAAAGTGCCGCTTTTTTTTTATGAATCTAATTATTTAGTACAGTGTCTAATTATTTAGTACAATGTTTTTATGAATCTAATTATTTAGTACAGTGTTATTGTCTGTTGGTAATTTTCAGGTTTGATTTTATAAAATTAAATTTACTTTTAAAGAATCTTTCAAATTTACTTCTTAAAAAATTTTTGTTTGCTCTATTTTTTTTTAGTTTTTAATTCAAAAATGTTTTTGTACATAATGTTTAAAAATGAATAACTATTTAAATTATTATTTTAATTTTTGTTTATCACATGTTGTAGGTTTTATATTCTAGTTTTTTTTTTCTTTATCTTCAGATTTAAAAGTTTGTATTTATCTTAATGTAATGAAGTTATACATTTACTTGAAGGCTGTTTAAACAAAATTTGTTTGATTTTCTAAGTTGTTTTGAAGTTGCAATTTGTATTTTCATGCTTTATCATGGCCAATGATATGGGTTTCAAAGTGGTACAATCATCCAATATCTAAAAAAAGTCCTCTATATCTTGAATAGACAATAAGATTTCCCCTCACTTTATTAAAGGGAAGGGATTACCCTTGTGGAAAATATTTAACTACATCTACAAATAGAATAAGTATTTGAATATTTTTAGTTTAAAATGTATATTTATAATGATCTATAATTTTGTTTGTGAATAAATAAATTTGTTTAAAAATTTTTTTTCTTTTAATATAAACTTTAATTAATATTAAGTTATGTTTATAACAATTTTTTGTTGAAAAGTTATACATTTTGTTTTTTACACCAAACACCATCAAAATTTAGGTCAGCAGAACATGCAAAATATTAAAATGATTTGGGAGCTGCTTTGACAGTGTTTATGATTTTCCGTGTTCTACTTTTTCTTCTTTTCTTCATATATTTAGTTTTGTTATTATGTATGAATATATTGCTTTCCAGTTAATACATGTGGTGTATTTTTTCCTTTTTTTAATTTGGTTACTTTTTTCAGATTAATAAGATGTATGTTTGTTTAATATAGATTTAACATTTAACATTTAAAACTATTGAAAGTTGTTATTTGTTGTTAATTTTTTTAAAAATGTGTAAATAAAAATTTGTTTGAAACTACAATCCATAATGATTCGTAATTTATCTATGTGAACAAAAGCCTATGCAAATATCTAACACAGGGTGTCACAGGGTGACAGGTCTGTCAGATCAGAGAATTCATAAATCTGCACAAAAATTAGGGAATAATCAGAGAAGTTAGTTTAAATTTAGGAAAAATCAGGAAGAAATCAGGGAAAACGACTCTTCATCAAACCTATGTAATTTAAGTAAGTTTTATTTTGTACATGCAACATAAAATTATATTTAGCAAATAGAAACTTATCTTAATACTTCAGATGCGGGTTGTATAATTGTTTGAATTTTTGCTATTAAAGAGGTTTTTTCTATAAGAATCCGAATCTAATTTTTCTGAAGCTGAGTTTTAGTAACTTTAAATTAAGTCAGAGAAAACAGTCAGGGAAAAATCAGGGAAATCCACTTAAAAATATTGGCAAACACCCTGTAACATGTCAACTTTAAGTTATGTAAATTATTAAAAATTATATCAAATTTTACAGATTTATTTTTATTTGAAATTTTATTGCGGCAATATCTCCTTAATGTTGATTTATAGCATTTATATGCTGTTTTACAAAGTTTAATAAATAAATAATAAGTCTTTTAATTATTAAACAGTGTTGAAAGATGATACTATAGCATGCCAAAGTGATTGAAGTGCTTCGCGTGGATTCAAATACTTTCGTCTACACTTATTTGTTTAAATCTTTTCCAAATTTCTAGAATACAAAGTAAACACATTTTTTAAGGCCTAAAAAGATATTATATGCATAACATATAAAAAGATATTATATGCATAACATATAAAAGATATTATATACTATAATAAAAAAAAGGAGATAACTTTTTATAAAGTTTAAAAAATTCTAAAAACAAGATAACATCGTTAAAAATTTGTTCCGCATAAGTCATGATAGGTACTTAAGTTATTAATATACACAGTAATTAGTTAAGTCTGTGCATTAAAGAGACAAGTTTCTTTTTTATAGAAAAAAAGATTTTACATGCAAACTTTAATTTTATTTAAAATTAACGGGATTAGAGTCCTAATAAGCCGCAGATCTGAAAAAAAAAAATAACTAGAAACTTATTAAAGAAAAAAGTAATCCCCCATAATCGCTTTTTTTTTTATAGAAATTTATAGAAGTTATAAAGTATTAAACATTAATCTTTAACTCGAAAGAAAAATTTTTGTATTTTTCTTTTTTTTTTTTAAATTATTGAAATAAAGGTAAATTATTAAAATGGTCAGTGTGGAATAGACTTACCATGACCAGTATTATGTGGGTCATAGCAAGTCCATTGTTCAACATATTTAAGTCATCTCATGTTTTTTGAAACTTTTTATACCAATAGTAATTAATTAACACATTTCAAGCA